ACAAAACAAATGTTAGTCTCCACGTTTGTGCAATGGAAGGACTTTTGGATTTTCATGTGATCTGGAAAATCCTGTTTTAAAGGATCAAGTGTAAATCTGTGAAAATGGACCAACAATGTTTTTGACTCTAAACATCAAACCCAGTGTGATCAGCCGACTTTTGGTTTTAAGGCTTTTTACAATTTTTTTAATTTCTTAAAGCTGCACTGTGTAACATTTGTAGTGGAGGGTCTGCCACCTGCCTGCCCCCATGGAAATGTTATTACTTTGTCTAGAATGTTCCACAGTAGATGAAACTATTTATCAGAAGTTTGTCGAGCAGGTTACAGCACTACACTACATGACAGTTCAGATCTGTGGAGAGGCGTTTCCTTCTATTCTCAGAAGAATAATTATATTTTTGAGCAACAGACACACATAATGAATATAAATGCCAGATGGAAATGTTGAATGTTTATACCGAGAGAGAGACAAGCATGTGACGGACCCTCCACCACAAAACTTGCACTACGTCCCTTAAAAAATTTTTTTTTTAAATTAACCCTTCATATATGGCCTCAATCTCAGTGCCTTTATTTTGAGGAGGGACAGTTTTCTTTGCAAAGTTTTGGCCTATATTTACAAAATCATCTTTAAACTTGTTTTCTGTATGTGACTTTTGTTATTGTCTTTTATATTTATTGTGTCTTTTGCCGTTAAGAACTTTCCATGTTCCTGGACATTTTGCCTGTGTTAGACCATTACTTTCATGTAGTACTCTTTCTTACTATTTCTAATCATTTTAACTAACTTATTCTTATATTCTTTGTTTTTATTTTCAGCTTTTGGTGTTCTAGATTGTAGGAACTTTTAGTATAGCACATTTTCTTTATAATTCCGTAAGTGAACATGTTTTCAGTGTGTTGTAAATATGGAATCATGTATTTACAGAGACATCACGTCCTTCATTACATTTCTTGTCAGTTCTGCTTCAGTTGCTTCAGGTGTTCTGTCTCTCTCTGGCTGGTGCGTTAAACAAATTTTGGAAAATTTCGAAAACAGACAGGTGTCAATAAAATCAGTTAATAAAAGTCCAGTTTGATTGGTTAATAATATGTTACAGACAGTGTTGGGAAGGTTACTTTTAAAATGTATTCCCCTACAGATTACAGATTACATCCCCCAAAATGTAGACTGTAACGTAATCCATTAAATTACTTAAAATGAGTAACGTAATCTGAATACTTTAGATTACTTGATTTGCTGTAGAGAAGCAAAGACTAGGATATTATAAGATAAGATGTTTTGTCTGCTAAAAGACAATAAAAAGCTCAGACTTTACTAAACTGTATTAAAAATATTATTGATAGAAGACGAGGAGACACGTCCACGCAGCATGATTTAGTTCCATTAAATCCTGTTTTAATCCTGGTTTAGACCTGGTTTTAGACCTGGTTTAGTGTCCAGCAATAAGTGGAATTACTGAAAAAAAAAAAAGTAATTTAGCCCAAAATGTAAAAACAGGAACATACCGCCGTGTAATCCATTTATTTCAACAAAGTAACTGTAATCCAGTTACCACTCACTGAAACAGTAACTGTAACTGAATAGTTACTCATAATTTGTACTCTGATTACATAACTCCAGTACATGTAATCTGTTACTCCCCAACACTGGTTATACACTAATGTTACTGATAATTACAGCTGTGCACAAATATCTAAATATCAATATATCGTATTGTTTAATGTGATGATACAGTATCGGTATCGTGGGCTGCTGTATCGATATATCAACAAGAGTATTTTTTTTGGTTTATTTTACTCAATTATTTTGTTACAGCTACAGTTTTGCTGTTTGTTCAGAGGAAGGAAATTCGTTTGTGTGACACATTTGATTTTTTCTCTGTTTTGATGATTCAGATGTTTGTGTTTCATATGAACTTTGAACAAGAAGTGATTTAACAAAGACTTTTAGTGTCACAGACATGATTTAGACTTTATTTTTATTAAACAGAATCGAATCAATTTGAAATATATCAAATCTATCGAGAATATTGAATCGTATCGAGACATGTATCGTATCATTGCTTTTGTATCGAGGTAAGTATCATATCGGCAACTCCTGAATGATACCAGTCCTCCTGAGAATGTTATTCCAGTAGGTTTTACAGTCACTGGGAATAAAGTGGTGTTATAAAACGTGTCTCTCAAGGCTTTTTAAATAAATTGAAATGTCATTTTCAACTTATTTTTCAACTTTTCTTCACAAACTGCTTCTTGATTCGTATAAAACTCTCATTTATATTTTCAGCAGGTTTAATCCCACCAAACAAAGTCATAAGGAGAGAATCATGAGAATTTGTCACATGCACTTTGAGCAGCAGCAGTAATGCCCCTCTGCAGCACACGGACCCACACAAATCCACGTATCAGTTGTTCATTTGTTTTTCAAAATAAAACAGAAAATAAGAAAAAAATATGATTTGTTTTTTTCAGTTTATGATTTTGTGTTTTAATGAATAATGGAAAAAATGGGTAACGCTTGTTTCCCGTTTCTGAAACTTAAACAACACTTGTCTAACATTTTAGGCAATCAACAAAATAACACTATTTCCCAAAAAATATTTATATGCACTTACCTCATGGATTGGTGACAGGACAGCAGTTTCCAGTTCTGTGTCTGATACAAGTATGGAGTCAGTAATCTCGTGTGCATAAGATAAAAATCCATGCATATTTGTCTGTAGTTGAGCATAAAATAAATATTTGTAAACTCTCGAATGAGTCCAGTCATATAAAATGGGTTGTGTATATTTTATCATCAGAATATGAATTGAAGTTACGACATCAAGAATTACAATCACAAGATGAAAATGTACAATTACACTTTCTTCAGTACGAATACGAATTCACAAACACGACTTGACTGTCAAAAATACATCATCACTTCACAGACATTAATTATTGAACAGAAGAAACATTGATCAAGATGTCGGACTTTTGCACCACATACGGACTGAACCAGGACTGAACCAGGACAGGACTATAATGATCCTCAAGTCTAGAGGCCTTTAGGTTTGTTTTGTGTCCTCCCGGTCATAGACATCTATCTATCTATCTATCTATCTATATCTATATATATATATATATATATATATATATATATATATATATATATATATATATATATATATATATATATATGTTTATTCAACTTGCTCTAGGGTCATAAATTGGATGAAATGGGAAATGGCCATTATTCATTTTTCCCATTATTCATTGAAACACAAACACTGAAAAAAAGAAATTGTTGTCTGTTTTTTTTCATTTTGGAGACAAATAATGAAGAAAATAGTTGTTTTTTCATTTTCATATGTTTTGTTTTATTTTGAAAAACACACAGTCACACGTTTAACACTGTTTAATAAAGTTTTACAGTGAATAATCTCAGGTCACGAGGACAGACTCAAATAGAACAGATCGTGTCGTTACACTTCAGTTCACTTTTAAAGGGCACATATGACACTTTTCTGATCTATGGTCTGATGTTATTTAACACACAAACGCTGAAGGTCACTCACACGTGTGAAAAAAACAAAAAAAAAACACAACACAACTCCACGTCTGTTTTTGCGGCGGTAAAAACAGAACATGATTTAAAGCTCACAAGAGTCGGTTTTGCATAATATAAAACCTTTAAACACTTGAAGCTTTTGCATTCCTACTGGACAAATGAGTTTAAACCTGCTGCTTGTTTCCATGGAGATGTTATTGCTTTTCCTGTAATGTTTCTCAGTGTGGCATTACTCACATCTGTCGCCATGGAGTTGTGTTTTGTTTCATTCACACATTTGAGTAGATCAACACAAACCCCGACCAGAAGTTTCAGAGTGGAAATGGCTTATTGCTGGTTTAGGTTTTATCGTTAAAGATCTCATCAGGTTTAGAAATAATTTAGTTTCAGTTTTGGTCAACAGGTCTAGTCCCGGTTCAGTCTTGGCTCAGTTTGGTTTCAGTTATGGTTTAGACCTGGTTTTAGTTCTGGTTCAGGTAAGTAGCACTTTTGACAACTTCCCTTGTTCTGTTTCAGTCCTAGTTTAGTCTTGGTTTAGTCCTGGTTCAGTATTGATTTAGTCCTGGTTTAGTCCTGGTTCAGTCCTGATTTAGTCCTGGTTCAGTCCTGGTTTAGTCTTGGTTTAGTCCCGGTTCAGTCCTGGTTCAGTCCTGGTTTAGTCCTGGTTCAGTCCTGATTTAGTCCTGGTTTAGTCCTGGTTCAGTCCTGGTTTAGTCCTGGTTTAGTCCCGGTTCAGTCTTGGTCTAGTCCTGGTTTAGTCCTGGTTCAGTCCTGGTTAGTCCTGGTTCAGTCTGGTCCTTTAGTCCTGGTTCAGTCTTGGTCTAGTCCTGGTTTAGTCCTGGTTCAGTCCTGGTTTAGTCCTGGTTCAGTCCTGGCTTAGTCCTGGTTTAGTCCTGGTTCAGTCTTGGTCTAGTCCTGGTTTAGTCCTGGTTCAGTCCTGGTTTAGTCCTGGTTCAGTCTTGGTCTAGTCCTGGTTTAGTCCTGGTTCAGTCTTGGTTCAGTCCTGGTTAAGTCCTGGTTCAGTCCTGGTTCAGTCTTGGTTCAGTCCTGGTTCAGTCTTGGTTTAGTCCTGGTTCAGTCCTGGTTCAGTCCTGGTTCAGTCTTGGTTCAGTCATGGTTCAGTCCTGGTTCAGTCCTGGTTCAGTCCTGGTTCAGTCCTGGTTCAGTCCTGGTTCAGTCTTGGTTCAGTCCTGGTTCAGTCCTGGTTTCAGTCCTGGTTCAGTCCTGGTTCAGTCTTGGTTCAGTCCTGGTTCAGTCCTGGTTTCAGTCCTGGTTTAGTCCTGGTTCAGTCCTGGTTCAGTCTGGTTCTAGTCCTGGTTTAGTCCTGGTTCAGTCCTGGTTTAGTCCTGGTTCAGTCCTGGTTCAGTCCTGGTTCAGTCCTGGTTCAGTCCTGGTTCAGTCCTGGTTTAGTCCTGGTTTAGTCCATCATAATAAAAACACACACATTTGCATAATAGTTGTTTTATTCACATTTCCAGGGAGAGTTTGTGGATTTGAGGGAAGCACAGAGTCGTATTGAGTTCAAACCTTCACATTTGGACATTTACACATAAAATCTTCACACAGTGTGATATGAAATATTGTATAAAGAAAGAGGCACTTCAGACACATTCACACATTATTCAACTGTTCAACCACAGCAGGGAGGATTCAAGAGGTCGTCAAGGAAACGCAGCAGACAGGAGCTACAAAACAAGACCAGAACAAGGCCTGGTTTAGACCTGGTCCAGTCCTGGTTTAGACCTGGTCCAGTCCTGGTTTAGACCTGGTCCAGTCCTGGTTTAGACCTGGTTCAGTCCTGGTTTAGACCTGGTTCAGTCTTAGTTTAGACCTGGTTTAGTCTTGGTTTAGAACTGGTCCAGTCCTGGTTTAGACCTGGTTTAGTCTTGGTCTAGTCCAACTTTAGACCCAGTTTAGCCCTGGTTGGTTTAATTCTGGCTCAGGTCTTGATTTTAACCTCGCTTAGTTGTCATTTAGACCCATTTTAGTCCTGGTTGAGTTCCAGTTTAAATCCATCAGCCCTGGTTTGGACATGGACCTGTTTTAAGACCTGAATTAGTCCTGGTTCAGTCCTGGTTTAGTCCTGGTCCTGGGAGGTTCTGCTCCTGAGTTGTGTTTTGTTTCATTCACATGTTTGAGTAGGTCAACGCAAACCCCGACCAGAAGTTTCAGAGTGGAGCTTTAAATGGTTTACTGCTGGTTTAGGTTTTATCGTTAAAGATCTCATCAGGTTTAGAAATAATTTAGTTTCAGTTTTGGTCAACAGGTCTAGTCCCGGTTCAGTCTTGGCTCAGTTTGGTTTAGACCTGGTTTTAGTTCTGGTTCAGGTAAGAAGCACTTTTGACAACTTGTCCTTGTCCAGTCCTGGTCCAGTCCTGGTCCAGTCCTGGTCCAGTCCTGGTCCAGTCCTGGTCCAGTCCTGGTCCAGTCCTGGTCTTGGTTGTGCTCCCGTCTGCTGATGTCACATGGCTTTTATTCATAACAGATACAAAGTTCGTATAAATACAAAATATAAGTACAGTGTGAAAGAATGGAACGCACTGAGGAGTGGAGCAGTTTGAATCAGGCTCAAAACAGTAGCTGCTCTAGTCAAAGTGAGTTTCAGTCCTGGATCCTGTTTCTGTTTAATGCCATTTATCAAAACGTGAAGAATTACAAAACTGTTTTCTGAAACGAGTAAAGAAAAAGTCCAGGAAGACGTGGACCGCACAACGCTCCAACTGAAAACCTGAGTCAACTTTAGACCAGAAGTCACACAATGAGTTCATGTTTAGACCTGGTTTAGACCTGGTTTAGACCTGGTTTAGACCTGGTTTAGACCTGGTTTAGACCTGGTTTAGACCTGGTTTAGACGTGGTGTTCAGTCTTGGATCTGTCCTTCTTTAGTCCTGGTTTAGACCTTATTTAGTCCCTTTTTGGTGCTGGTTTAGTTCTGGTTTAGTTCTGGTTTAGTCCTGGTTTAATCCTGGTTTAGTCCCAGTTTAGACCTGGTTTAGTCCAGGTTCAGTCCCTATTTATACCTCATTTAGTCCTAGTACTGATTAAATCCTGGTTCAGTCCTTGTTGAGACCTAGTTTAGACCTGATTCAGTCTGATTTTGGAGCTGGAAGACACACAATGAGTCAGTCCATGTTTAAATCGAGTTTAGACTTGGTTTAGTCCTGGTTTAATCCTGTCTTAGTCCCAGTTTAGACCTGGTTCCATCCTAGTCCTGATTAAATCCAGTCCTTGTTTAGTCCTGGTTTAGACCTGATTTAGACTCCGGTTTAAACCTGGTTTTGTACTGTTCAGTCCTGGTTCTGTCCTTGTTTAGTCCTGGTTTAAACCTCATTTAGTCCCTATCTGGAGTTGGTTCAGTTCTGGTTTAATCCTGGTTTAGTCCCAGTTTAGACCTGATTCAGTCCTTGTTTAGACTTGGTTCAGTCCTGATTTAGTCCTGGTTTAGTCACATATTAGACCTGGTTCTGTTCTTTCTCAGTCCTGGTTTAGTCCAGGTTAAGACCTCAGTTAGTCCTAGTCCTGATTAAATCCTGGTTCAGTCCTTGTTTATTCCTGGTTTAGACCTGATTTAGACTCGGGTTAGACCTGGTTCAGACCTCATTTAATCCAACTGACTCCAAGTAATGGTCAATATAATTAACCACCACAAAAAATAAAATGAAATTAAATAAAATGAAAATACAAACTTCTCTGGATACTTTGTACAACGTGACTGTGGCTACATCTGTACAAACACGTGTGCATCCATGGATCAGAAAAGACTTCAGATCACGTCCAGAAGTTCAAGTTGTCTGAGTATTGCTCTGAACAGCCCGCCCACACGCCCACACGCCCACACGCCCACACGCCCACACGCCCACACGCCCACACGCCCACGCGCCCACGCGGCCCTCCCTCTGTCCCTGATCACGTTTCAGATTTAAATTAAGAAACAAATCTGTGTTGGCTTCGTTTAAGGCCGTCCGTTTTCAACAAAGAGGAGAAGAAGAACTGTCCCTTGATCCTCTGCTACATCAGGATCATCCACTCACACAAGCGAATGTCTCTCCTCTCCCACGCCCCCCAGTCCTGGTTCAGGCCTGGTCCAGTCCTGGTTCAGGCCTGGTCCAGTCCTGGTTCAGGCCTGGTCCAGTCCTGGTTTAATCCTCGTTCAGTCCTGGATCAGTACCGGTTCAGTGCTAGTTCAGTCCTGGTTTAGTCCTGGTTCAGTCCTGTTTTAGTCCTGTTTTAGTCCTGGATCAGTACCGGTTCAGTGCTAGTTCAGTCCTGGTTTAGTCCTGCTTAGTACCTGGTTTAAGCCTGGTGAAGTCCTGGTTCAGTCCAGGTTCAGTCCAGGTTCAGTCCAGGTTCAGTCCTGGTTCAGTCCTGGTTCAGTCCTGTTTTAGTCCTGGTTCAGTCCTGGTTCAGTCCTGGTTCAGTCCTGGTTCAGTCCTGGTTCAGTCCTGTTTTAGTCCTGTTTTAGTCCTGTTTTAGTCCTGTTTTAGTCCTGGTTCAGTCCTGGTTCAGTCCTGGTTCAGTCCTGGTTCAGTCCTGTTTCAGTCCTGTTTTAGTCCTGTTTTAGTCCTGTTTTAGTCCTGGTTCAGTCCTGGTTCAGTCCTGGTTCAGTCCTGGTTCTTGTCATTGTCTTTCACCTCTCCCCCTCCCCGCCCTCGTCCCTCCTGTGGTGTTCGGGCGTGGGGTTGGGCGCCCTGTACCCGCTCCCTCCCCGCTCGTCCCCGTAGTCGTCGTCGTCCCCGCCCGCCCCCCTCGCCCTCTCCCGGTCCCTCCTGCTCGGGGGGCCCCAGATGAAGTTGTGCGCGGGCCGGTAGTGTTTCTTGGCGTAGCGCAGCAGTCGCCTCCTGGTGGCGGCGTTGCGGATGGTGTACACGTAGTACTCCAGGGCGCTGTGGGTCATGTTGGGCAGAGTCCCGCGGACCAGGGACTCCTCCAGGAAGAGACGCACGAGAGGGGCCTTGAACGCCTCGTAGCCCAGCTCCCCCAGGGACTTGAGGATCCGAGTGATGCGCAGGTAATTGTGCTGAGACCTGAAAGAGACGCATGAGTTTAGAGATTCAAGTACGTGAGAAGAAAAAGACTAAACCAGACTCAAACCAGGACTTCACCAGGCTTAAACCAGGTACTAAGCACAACTAAACAAACTCAAGATTAAAAGAGGTCTAGAAGAAACTAAAGCAGATCTAAACCAGGACTAAGATGATGAAGTGAGTGACAAATTGGTCATTGTGAGAGCTATGGTCAAGTGAGGCACCAATACGATACTGAAATCGGATATCGACGCAGAATGTCTCATAATGTTTGAACTTTTATACAATATATATTGGCAAATTCTTCAAGTATTCAAGTAAGAGTCAAAGTATCGATATCAGTGTTTGCTGGTACGAACTCAAACATTTAAAGCAAGACATTTTGTAATGACTATGACACTGGGAGGAGCATCAAACCAGGTCAAACCAGGTCCAATAACTAAACCACGTCTTAATGAGAATAACCAAGTGCAAGACCTGGAATAAAGCCAGGACTAAACCAGGACTAAACCAGGACTAAACCAGGACTAAACCAGGACTAAACCAGGTCTAAACCAGGTCTAAACCAGAAGTAAACCAGGACTAAATCAGGTCTAAACCAGAAGTAAACCAGGACAAAATCAGGTCTAAATCAAGTCTAAATCAGACCTAAACAAGGTCTAAACCAGGTCTAAACCAGGTCTAAACCAGGTCTAAACCAGGTCTAAACCAGGTCTAAACCAGGTCTAAACCAGAGCTAAAACAGGTCTAAACCAGGACTAAACCAGGACTAATCCACTCCACTTTATTTCGATAGCACATTTTATAAACATGACAGTTTCCAAAGTGCTGCACAGACAAATTAATAAAATAAAAGAAAGTAAATCATAAATAAAAACAAATAAGTGCTAACAATTATTAAAACTAATAATAAATAAAATTTAATAAATATAACTACATAAAAGACACAGAGGAGTATATAGCTCACGCAGTGTTAAAAGTCAGAGAGTAAAAGTGGGTCTTAAGACGAGATTTAAAACTCTCCACTGTGGGGTTATGGGGAGTTTGGGGCCGGTCAAAGAAAATGTCCTGTCCTCCTGGATTTAAGTTTCATCTCGCAGCACAAGCTGGAGCTGGGCCTTGAACCTCAGGGGGAGTTCAAATCAATTCTAAATCGAACAGGAAGTCAGTGCAAAGACGTAAGGACTGGTGTGATATGTTCTCATTTTTTGGTTCCTGTTCAAAGTCATGCAGCAAAGTTCTGAACTCACTGCAGATGGTAAAGTGTTTTGAGAGATGCCCGTGTAAAATGTTTTGCAATCCAGACGTGACAAAATAAAAGTGTGTATGACCTGTTCAAAAGGATTAAAAGATTAAAAAAAAGGTTTGACTTCGAATAAAAGCTGCAAATGATAAAAACTCAATTTTATCAGGTCTAAACCAGCTCTAACCCAGGACTAAACCAGCTCTAACCCAGGACTAAACCAGGAGTAATCCAGGTCTAAACCAGGACTAAACCAGGTCTAAACCAGGACTAATCCAGGTCTAAACCAGGACTAATCCAGGTCTAAACCAGCTCTAACCCAGGACTAAACCAGCTCTAACCCAGGACTAAACCAGCTCTAACCCAGGACTAAACCAGGAGTAATCCAGGTCTAAACCAGGACTAAACCAGGTCTAAACCAGGACTAATCCAGGTCTAAACCAGCTCTAACCCAGGACTAAACCAGCTCTAACCCAGGACTAAACCAGCTCTAACCCAGGACTAAACCAGCTCTAAACCAGGACTAAACCAGGTCTAAACCAGGACTAAACCAGCTCTAAACCAGGACTAAACCAGGTCTAAACCAGGACTAAACTAGGACTAAACCAGGTCTAAACCAGGACTAAACCAGCTCTAAACCAGCTCTAACCCAGGACTAAACCAGCTCTAACCCAGGACTAAACCAGCTCTAAACCAGGACTAAACCAGGTCTAAACCAGGACTAAACCAGCTCTAAACCAGGACTAAACCAGGTCTAAACCAGGACTAAACTAGGACTAAACCAGGTCTAAACCAGGACTAAACCAGCTCTAAACCAGCTCTAACCCAGGACTAAACCAGGTCTAAACCAGGACTAAACCAGGACTAAACTAGGACTAAACCAGGTCTAAACCAGGTCTAATCCAGGTCTAAACCAGGACTAATCCAGGTCTAAACCAGGACTAAACCAGGTCTAAACCAGGTCTAAACCAGCTCTAACCCAGGACTAAACCAGGTCTAAACCAGGACTAAACCAGGACTAAACTAGGACTAAACCAGGTCTAAACCAGGTCTAATCCAGGTCTAAACCAGGACTAATCCAGGTCTAAACCAGGACTAAACCAGGTCTAAACCAGGACTAATCCAGGTCTAAACCAGGTCTAAACCAGGTCTAAACCAGGTCTAATCCAGGTCTAATCCAGGTCTAATCCAGGTCTAACCCAGGTCTAAACCAGCTCTAACCTAGGTCTAAACCAGGTCTAAACCAGGTCTAAACCAGGACTAAACCAGGACTAAACCAGGTCTAAACCAGGACTAAACCAGGTCTAAACCAGGTCTAAACCAGGTCCAAACCAGGTCTAAACCAGGACTAATCCAGGTCTAAACCAGGTCTAATCCAGATCTAAAGCAGGACTAAAGAGTTAAAACTTTCGGAGTGTCTCCTTCCCCACATCATTAGCGTCAGTGTCTGTCACAGCAGAAACATGCAGTGCAGATGGTGCAGCGTCGGCGTCGCCCATTTTGTGTCATGTACATTTGTTTAATTGAGTTTTCGTCTGAGAAAGTCATTAGCGCTGCGTTACTACGGAAACACAATGGGATTTCAGATTTAATGAGCAATAAAGCAACTGTCACACTGAAGACGATTCACTTTGGAATATGAAGCTTCACAGAGCGTTTATGTAATCTTTAAAGGGTTAAGGTAAAATACTGTCTTCATATGTGTCCTTCAGGGTCATCACTATGTTCTACAATCCCTAGAGATAAACAGAGCTGGGGCTGGACAGAATTTTACAGGAGAATTTACGGTTTAACTTTTAGATTGCAGATTTGCTGACCTGGTTTATAGTTAAAGGTCACATGTAACACTATTTTCTGATCTGCTCTAATGTAGTTTCCTCATCACAAACACAAAGTGTTTTTGTTTCATTCACATGTACATACACCTTCCCTAGAATCATTTAGATCATTTCAGACCAGGAATTGCCAATTTCTACTAACAAGGTTCCACTCTTGTTCACGGACAAAATTTTTTAACTTTTCATGAGCTAAAGTGAATGTTCCAAGACTTTACAGCACCTACATGTGTAGAACTGATCAGACTTTTAGAGCTAAATCTGAAATGTGAACTCTTTCCACTCATTTTATGGTTTGGGATTATAGTTTTGAAACATTTAAAATCCTGTCAATGCATTTATTGTCGTCTCTTTTAAACAAAAGACACAGACGTTCAGAAATAATCAGAACAGCCTCATGAGAACTTAACAGAACGCTGTCTGAAAGGGATACTCAAATTCCATGACTTTTTCAAAACTTTCACTGAATTTACAAAACTAGATGACTCTTCCAGGCCTGGAAAATGACATTTTTAATTTCCATGGCTTTTCCAGGATTTCCATGACTGTGGAAACCCTGTACTGAACTAAAGGTAAAGGAGCTGTTAATTGTTTTGTTTTTTTTAATGTATGATTTATTTATGCTTTTTCAAAATATAAAAGACAAATTACATAAAGATGTATAATAAGGAGCTGTTAATTGTTAATGTGTGTGAATGAAACAAAACATAACTCTGAGTATGTGGAGCATTATAATATCAAATTTTGTGTAATATAAGATCTTTAATATCTCTGTAATTACTGGGCCTATCCACATGAAACAAAAACTGGCACCAAGTTGAACATCTTTCACAAAATAATGAGAAGGTTCAGCAATCAACTGGAGATTTCTTTCAAAACCAGTGAAGTTTCCACAGAGTGATACAGACCCGTGCGCTCCATCAGACCAAGCATGCAGACACGGGGAGAACATGCAAACTCCACACAGAAAAGCATGTGAGGCTCTGCCAGTGTACATCACTCACTCGTTCAGATGCTCAAATCTCTGTTCCCAGTTCGGAGCTCGCGCCACGTTCCCGTTTTTATCCAAGAGTTTGACGCCGTAAAAGTCCAACATGAGGGAGTACGCCGCCACAAACCTGCGCCTGGCCTCTCGGGTGCTCTGGAACTCCTGAAACACAAACACGACACTCACATGAGGACTTACAAGGACTCATCAGTGACTTTCTATCAAGCACAGATGTGGTGGGAAGGGAGATGCAGGCTGAGTGCAGACTGGCAGCCACGTCTCTGTCCTTCAGCCCCAGGGCAGACGCACACATGGAAGTCAAACGTATTAGAGTTGGGAGGAAACTGTAGAGTCTTACCTTAATCTCGTCCTGAGTGAGTTCATGTGCGTAGAAGTTCAGCCCTTGTTCTCTCAGAGGAAACAGCCTGAGAACAAAGAAGAAATACATGAGATAAACCAGGACTTAACCAGGACTAAACCAGGTCTAAACCAAGACTAAACCAGGTCTAAAACCAGGACTAAAACAGGTCTAAACCAGGTCTAAACCAGGTCTAAACCAAGACTAAACCAGGTCTAAAACAGGTCTAAACCAGGTCTAAACCAGGTCTAAACCAGGTCTAAACCAGGTCTAAAACCAGGACTAAAACAGGTCTAAACCAGGACTAAAACAGGTCTAAACAAGGTCTAAACCAGGTCTAAACCAGGACTAAAACAGGTCTAAACCAGGTATAAACCAGGTCTAAACCAGAACTGAACCAGAACTGAACCAGGAATAAACCAGGAATAAACCAGGACTAAAACAGGTCTAAACCAGGTATAAACCAGGTCTAAACCAGAACTGAACCAGGAATAAACCAGGACTAAAACAGGTCTAAACCAGGTATAAACCAGGACTAAACCAGGTCTAAACCAGGTCTAAACCAGGACTAAAACAGGTCTAAACCAGGTCTAAACCAGGTCTAAACCAGGACTAAACCAGGTCTAAACCAGGACTAAACCAGGTCTAAACCAGGTCTAAACCAGGACTAAACCAGGTTTAAACCAGGTTTAAACCAGGCCTAAACCAGAACTAAACCAGGTCTAAACCAGGTCTAAAGCAGGACTAAACCAGGACTAAACCAGGACTAAACCAGAACTAAACCAGGTCTAAACCAGGACTAAACCAGGTCTAAACCAGGACTAAACCAGGTCTAAACCAGAACTAAACCAGAACTAAACCAGGGCTAAACCAGGTCTAAACCAGAACTAAACCAGGACTAAACCAGGGCTAGAGCAGGTCCAAACCAGGATTTAACCAGGACTAAAGCAGGACTAAACAAAGTCTAAATATTTGACCCATCCTTCAGTGGCGCTGGGTTAAACCTGCACCCGGTGACCCATCTCCAGATCTTGGTCACAATCTTTTCTTAGAGGATTTGACCTGTTGTGCAAGTTTTGGGTTGAGAACTAAACCAGGTCTATGAAGGATCTACTGATGAAGCAGCACTAAACAAAGTTCTAAACCGGGTCTAAACCAGGTCTAAACCAGGTCTAAACCATAATCTGAGTTAGTGTCTCACCACTGGATGTAGGTGTGATTGTGCTCTAGTTTGTCGTAGTCTCCTCTCCACTTTTTCAGAATCTCCTCAATGTAGATCCCTGGAATTGAATAGGAAAATTATATTTAAAAGAAGCATATCTCTGTGCGTCAGATGCCCTCCCGTCCTCCTGTATCCCCGTGTGTCAGATGTCCTCCTGTATCCCCGTGCGTCAGATGCCCTCCCATCCTCCTGTACCCCCGTGCGTCAGATGCCCTCCCGTCCTCCTGTACCCCCGTGTGCCTCCCTGTGGTGTCAGACCGTGCTGGGGGCGGGTCACATGTCTGTTTTTAATCTGCAGATGTTGTGGCGTTGGTCGGAGAAATAAAGCGCAGAATAGATGTGATTAAAATGAGACTTTGGAGATGTGTTTTCAAACTCACCATCTGGGACCAGGGGGATTTTGTTCAGGTAAAAACGAAGGTTGCGATATTCGTTGGGCTGCCTGGACTTTCTATAGTTCTGTAAAAAACAATCAGAAAGAGAACGTCAACAATGTGATAATCAATGTCATAAATTCAATAAAAAACAATATGCAACCAGTGTATTTCCTTTAATAACCTGACAACACCTAACATATTTAGATCATCATGCTAAGCCACTCCCCCTTCAGAGCACGATTACAACACAATCAGCATGTGTCCTGCTAATGAAACTACTGCACATCACATCAGGTTTGTCGAGTTGTTGTGCACAGTTTTGTATCTTGTTTTGTGTATTTATGGCGAATTGTCATGTGGGAGCATGGGTGATGAAGGCTTGTGGGCGGAGCCTTGTACAGAATGTTACAGCTAACTGTAAGGAGGGTTTAAATACACTGCAAAAACAAAAACAAAATCTAGCCAAGTTAAGACGACTTGAATTAAGAAAGTTTTATGATTTGAGTAAATTTCAGTTGACATGTAAAATTATCTGCCAGTGGAACAAGAAAATACATCTTACTACACTTAAAATAAGAAAACAAAAACTTTTTGCATTTAAAATAAACTAAATCTAATGTTGCTTGAATTAAGAAAAACACACTTATTCCACTGGTAGATCATTTTACTTGTCAAGTTGAATCTACTCAAATAAAGTCAAATGTTTTATTTTTTTTTTATTTAAGTCATTTTAATTTAGCTAGATTTTTTTTTTTTTTATTCCAGTGTAGGGCCCTCGTGAGATCACTAGATTAGTTAAACATGCATGGATGACTCTACTACCTGATGAGGGAATAATGTTATCACATGGGAGAAAGCTCAAAATGTCTATTTTGCATAACAGCTCCACTTTTTAAACAGTGCACCTGTTTTCATCATTCATTTACTCATTTACAAGGAAATGAAATTTTAGATTTATTTTCGGTGAACCAAAGATGACGTTGTGTTGTTTTCACTGGTCTGAGCTCACTGGTGCATGAGACAAAAACATATTTTTTTTCCACATCACTTCCTCAGTACTGGCCCAGCTCCTCCCACCATGTGACAACAGAAACATGCACCACGTGATCACTTCTGACCAATCAGAGCGAGAGCTGCTAGAGCAAACTTTGGGGTGCTTGAAGGATTTAAAAGTTCATGAAAATACAGATGAATCCTACAAAACCTGACTTTTGTGAATGCTGACAATGACGGTTTGATTTCCCCAAAAACACATTATGTTCTATGGGAGTTTTGTTTCTGGGCTGGAGCTCCAGGAGCTGCAGGACCCGGAGCAGCCACTAGTCAATCTCACACCAGAACAGAGGAGAGTGTCTTCTGTGGAGTAAGAAAGCTTTCAAAAATATTTGTGCGCATAGAATAGAAATCCGTGCGTATTTGGGAAATCTTTGCATATCTGGCAGTGTTTGGTGTAAACTGGGACATTTCAGTGACCTGAGGAACTTTTGGTCACATTTCATACGAGAAATGCAGCTGAGATGAAGGTTAAGACTGACTGATGCTCGCTGTGGCTGTAGCCGTGAATGTTTCAGTCTAAACATACAGAGAACCTGATATTTGCTCATTAGTCCTGGGATAATGTTACATCTGATGTTCACCAACTGGCTCCACTGTGTTTCTACTAAGATATAAGTGCAATTTCCCGTTCAGAGGAGGTATTTCTACACAATATCACACAGCAGCGTTCAGTTCCCGTGGCAAGACAAGACATTTTAACAATAAATTTGAATGAACCCACTTGTTGGTCGCTGTTGTAGCTCCTTGTTGTGTCATTACTCTGTTTTTACTCTGCTACAAACTTAAACATGCACAGTCTTGATCTTGATCGATGTTTCTTCTGCTCCATAAATAATGTCTGTGAAGTGATGACGTATTTTTGACAGTAAAATCCCGTCTGTGAATTCGTATTCGTACTGATGAAAGTGTAATCGTAAATTTTCATTTCGTGATTGTAATTCTTGACGTCGTAACTTTTCAATTCGTATTCTATGGATAAAATACACACAATATATTTTATGTACGACTGGACTCATTTGAGAGTTTATAAATATTTATTTTACGCGCAACTACAGTCAAATATGCATGGATTTCTATTCTATGCGCACACATATTTTTGAAAGCTTTCTTACTCCATAGTCTTCTCCATGTCTTATTATAAAGCCATGGTTTGGACTGTAGTATGATGCTGAGTGTAGATTTAAATGTGAGATTTGAGTTTTACCGGGTAACTGTGTCTGTATTTGTACAGGTCTCTCGCTGCGTAGAAGCTCCTCTTCATCTTTGGGGCCGACTCTGGAGAATCACACAACTGAAACAAAACAAACAATGCATCAAATATGGTAAACTAATGTCACATCTAACTGTGATTATGTTTATAAATCAAGAGACATTTCACAGGTCTCATTTTAAACCCGAGAAGCATTCACATCTGACCCTCAAATCTGACCTTTAAACTCATCCAAGAATTGTATGAATTGTTGTGTCTCTGTATTTCAGAGCATGTTTATAGAACTCTAAACTACAGGGATAGCAGCTTTTACACACAATAAGACTCCATGGAGACACAGGGAGGGCATCTGACACACAGGGACATTTCAGAGCATGTTTGTAGAGGTCTAGAGTACAAGGTTAGCAGCTTTAACAAACAATAAGACCCCATCTGACACACAGGGAAGCTTAGGAGCCTAGAAATCATACATATAATCACAATACTTGCCAGAAAAAACACAATCAGATGTTTTTACTGTTGACCTAATAATAAAGGATTTAGCAGGTCCCCGTGATGTGAATGTGTACAGATCTGAGTCCTTATAAAGTGAGAGATCCCAGCACACATGTTTCATACGCGCTTTGCTCAAACAGGATTGGTTCTGCTCCTTTACAAAAACATTAATCCCTCATATCCGCTCTAACCAGATCACAAACGCAGCATTTGAATTCAGAGGATTTGGGGGAGATTTCAAATTTAAAAACATGTCGTGACATTAAAACACTCATAAATACGGTTTCTGAAGATGGGTCATAAAAAGAATCTGCCCACTTAATCCTATTTCACTTCTACGGGGCATTAACTCGAACACAGAACATATTTAGATCACCATGTTACCTTTTCCAAAATGCTGTGTTCCTTCAAAACAATGTATTAATGAGGGAACCATGTTATAAAACGGTAGAAAGTTCCAAAACAATGATTTTGCTTATAAGTATAGAGCTGTGCAATGAATTCATATAAATCGTGATAATTGTGTTTGATAATCGGCCTGTAACGATAACTGATTTTGCTAGACGAATTTATTGCAATAAACGTTAATATTGACATTTTGAGACCAATTTCAACTAATATAATGACCATGGAATAAAAATGCAAATACACCCTTTCAAAGATCAATAAACCTTACTTTGTAAAGAACATTTAACACAGGAACTGAAAGACAACCAAAAACAACAGGCCTAAATAAAACAGACTGTTAACACAGGACTAGTCTAATGTGTCTGGCTCACAGCAACGGACTTGTTGACAAAAATGCACTTGAATAAACCATTGCTGAACCAAATACAACCAAAGCAATAAATAAAATGAATTATTAAGTCTCTGTAACAAAATTGGCCTTAAAAGTGATTTTAGTTGTTGTCTTACATTGGTATATAGTAGCCACTCTCTCTGTCCGTCATTTTGGTAATTTAAAAGTTCGTATTAACCCGCAACACAGGATGTTATTTCGCTATGAGGGCGTCTCTGTCCTGTCTGGTATCGTGTCGGTGTCTTGTGGGATTTCAGTGAATTTTGGGCTCTCCCGGGGGCGGGGCTAATGGTGTTGCTCAGGGTTGGGTTCATCGGCTGTTAGGGTTTAAGACATTTTTGCTCATCGTTTGCGCTCGCTGCATTTCACGCACATGACTGTTGAGACCAAGCCCCCAGGTTCCAAAATGGCCGACCATTCAAGTCAATGGGCCGAACTCAATGGCGCATGATCCCAGACTCGCCCTTAGCCCGGCGAGGTACTTCCGGTGGCTGTGGGCCGACCGAGCATGCGCAGTAGTGTCTTTTCTCCCACGGGCACACGCGAATGCACACAAACGCACGCACGGAGCATGGGCTCGTGTATCACGTGATCGCTTTGACCAATCAGAGCGAGAGGAGTTAGAGCAGAGCAGAGCGGAGCCGAAGCGAACGATTATAAAGTGTTTTTTAAGACAACTGAAGGATTTTGAGCTGAGAAAAAGTGTATGATCTAAAAATAGGTAAAAATCCCCCAAAAATCTGACATTTTTGAAAGTTGTAGGTCCCTGTCAGATGAACACGAGCAGTTTATGATTACATTGCCTCTATGAGAAAAATCTTCTCTCGGCCCAGGGGATTTTTTCCGCTGTAGAACCAGTGAGTGGCCACTACGTCAACTGGGGGCAGCTACAAACAGCAACACCCTCCAGTTATTTTAATAGATCAATGGTTTAGACATGTCCGCTCACCAGTGTTGATTCGGCATCGTGACTTGTTTTGGCACTAGTTTGTGTTGCAGCTTCATGTTAACTGCACAGACAGCGGCGTTTTCTGCACTCAGGCTGCGCACGCATCCACTGTGTTGATAAACACAGCGCACGTTGGTTCAAGCGTCATTACATTTGTTAAACGAGACGAGTCAGAGAGCGATAGAAGTCTTCTAACATTCACCCTCTTTGAGAGCGACAGAGAGCGAGGAAAACAAACAAACATGCAAATAGAATTTATCGCGGCCGGAAAAGTTATTGAGCTCATTAAAAGTTATCGTATGATTAAATGATTTATTGATTATCGTTACAGACCTATCTGATAATCTATTAAAGGGCCCATATTAAACAATTTTCTGATCTCTGTTCTGATGTAGTTTCCTCATCACAAACAGAGCTGGAGTTGTGTTTTGTTTCATTCACACATGTTTAACACACAAACCCTGTAGATTTAGACTGAGTTCACACTATAGTCTGTATAAAGAAGTGCACTAAGTGAGTGTGACGTCACCCACAGTGTTCGGCGTCAGTCAAATGAAGCTGAACGGACACAGGAGCAGATTTGTAACCGAGTTCTATATTATGAATAATTTTTTTAACGAACAAAACAGCAAAATAAAAACTCCAGGATCATGTGTCGCAAGTTAATACCAACATTTTAAGACCGACATGACGAGGCTCACAGCGGCAGGTAGAGAGAGGAGCCACAATATTCTAGGGGTGTAACGATATCCAAGTCTCACGATACGATATTTATTGCGATATTGTGGGAAAGCTCACAATATGGTAGGGAGGCTCATGATTAGGGATGTAACAATATTCAAATCTCTCAGCACAATATTTTCACAATGTACATCTCACGGTACGATATTTATTCCGATATTTTGTGGAGGCCGCAAACAAAACTCTTAATATGCTACTTTTTCCTCAAGACTTAATCCAAAGAACTAAAACTTAAAAAAAAATATGTTTAGAACTGTCATTTCTTCTTGTAGTTTGCACTGAAATGGAGCAAAGGATCATGGTCTATGTAGTTCTCTCATCTTTTTTTTTTTTTTTTTTTAGCTATTGCTGCACCATAATTTAAGAGTTAGAGCAGGGGTGTCAAACATACGGCCCAGGGGCTGGATCCGGCCCTCCAAGACTTTTAATCTGACTCTCGGCTGATTTTCTACAAAAATATCTTAATTATATTTTCTATTAAAATATTGGTAATTTTCTGCGGTGCTGAGCATCGCAGCATCTCCAGTGTCTCTGTACGTGGCCCCTCCCACCAGAGCAGCACAAATGAAGACTTGTCTCTTTCCAAACGCTCTTAAAGGACGATCGTTTTGACTGTTGACCGTGACACCCTCATCAACAAAATGTCAAAAATGAGAAAAGTGGAGCCGAGTGCAGGATTTTACAACAAAAATTTACTTATTCCTATTTGCATACAAGTTCATGTTAAAACATTGTGTTGAAATTGTATTTTTCTTAAAGTTTCTAGTTGTTATTATAATTATAATCATTATTATAATTAATATTCTGTAAAAGAGTTAATCAGTTAAAAAAGATTTCTGTAATAGATTTGTGTTTCTCTGCACAAATATTTGAACTTGTTGTTATTTTGGGGTTTATATGACATGAGTTTTCTGATCCGGCCCCTTTGGGATCAAAGTAGGTTGGACACAACCCCCGAACCAAAATGAGTTTGACACCCCTGAGTTAGAGAGACTTTTATTTCGATATATTGTGATGGTCTATGATATTATTGTGAGAAGTTTGATGATACAATATCATGATAGTCCGGTTATTGTTATATCCCTACAATATTCCAATGTAAGTCAATACGAACCAGAGTCAGCAGGAGCATTTTAAACTTTGCAGATGTAGACAGACTAATAATAAAGTGTTACTCAAACATGTGTAAATGAAACAAACACAACTCCAGCTCTGATTTTGAGGAGGTAATAACATTCTAACATGTCTTAAAGCTCACAGGAGTCAGTTTTATGTAATATAGGACCTGCTAAATAAACAGATCATGTCAAATCCACTTGTAAATATGTTTAAGCCCGGCTCTTCTAGCGCTCACGTGTCAGAGTGGTTTTCGTTTGCCTAATCTAAATCCACTTTGGTGTTTTAGATTTTGTGAGGATAATCCCAGCTTCCCCATTCAAACCACAGCATGTTTCACTTCACTTTTGCCTCTAATATGGAATGTTTTTGTTTACACTTATTCAGGAGTGGGAGGTAACGCATTGAAAATACTCACATTACTGTTACTCAAGTCAATCTGTGGGATAATTGTACTTTTTTGAGTAGAGTAAACTTTGAAATGTACTTAATAATAATTCTAGTCATTATTCTGCAGACATAACATCTCTGTATCATCCGTTCTGATTGGAACGAGCTCAGAAAATATGCAGATTATGGTTTAAAATGATTCAATTCATCTTTAAATTGCTCCTATTATGCTATTTTCTGATCTGTGTTATAATATATATATATATTTTTTTTTATTTCACCAATAATAAATAATAATAATAATGTAGATTCCTCATCACAAACATGCCTGAAAGTGTGTTTTATTTCATTCCCACAGGTTTAACACACAAACCCTCCAGATTTAGGTGGAGTGCTGCAAAAAATATAAAGTAAATAGCAACTAGTACTCTGACTTTTCGTGTTTTTTTGTTTTTGTTTTTTTTTTTACTTTAGAACTATTTTGAAAGCAGTAAACGAACTTGTAATTGAGCACATTTTTGTCATGCAACTGTACTTTTATAGAGATGAAATCTGCAGTTCTCTTTCACATTTTAAAGCCCATTTTAAAAGTGTCTGTAACAATAGAATCTGTCAGAACCGTGGTCTTGTCATTCATACTTTTGTGAGGTGCATCCGCATGCTTTAACATGATCTATTCCCCAAACATATTTCAGTACAGCAGCAGCAGCAGCGTTGGGAAGTAACTGAACATGTACTGAAAATACTCATCTGAATACTTATTTTGAGTAACTGTGTGTTGGGACAGTTACTCTTTCATGGAGAGAGATCTGGCTGCAGACCTCCACCCAAAGGACCCTCACGTGACTCTCTCCATCCTGTACACTGTGTATATAAATGGACATATCTAACCCACTAGCTGCTGCGGTCCAAATGGAAGTGTTCACGGGTGCGCTTCAGGCTCCATCTACTCTCTTTACCATTGACTTTACATTGGAAAATAATCACTCCTCTCACTAACTGCTGCAGTGAGCCTTGTCATTTTGATCTTAAAATATTTATTAACCACTCTACATGATCCTGGTGTTTTTATTCACTGTTTTGGCCCTAAATCAATTCATACTCTTTATTAGCTCCTTTAGTCCACTTCTTTATAAAGTCTACACTCCATCACCACATCCCTAAACGTACAAACAGGGCCATTCCAAAAGACACCAAAGTCCACTGTTTCTTGAGCGCTGTTTTCAATGTGAAGTTACTAAAGTTTTCCAAACCTTAATCATTACAGATTTATGTCTAATCTTAACCAGACACAGGGCCTATGGCAACACATTTGTTTGTATTGATGCAATCGTAGGCGACATGTTCACAATTAAATATGTGTTATGTTTGTGACAATGTTTTAAACTGCTAATTTCTCTGTGTGAGCAGAGAGAACAGAGACAACACGGAGATACTTTCAAATGATCACTAACACTTAACACTTTTAGAAATGTACTGGAGATTAAAGGTACTTGATGTGCTAATAAGTGCAAACCTCAAAAATAGCTTTGAATTACATTTAATTAACATTTAATAGACAACTAAGGCAAGAACTAAAACAGAGCAAACTAATAAAATGGTGAGGGACACCATTTTATTAGTTTGTGGAGCAGGGTCCTCTGGGTGGAGGGATACGGCACTGGTACTGGGGCCGATATTGGAAATTTTGATGGATCGGATACTGGTTCTTTCTATTAAGACGATTTACTGGACAATTTTAGCCCAAATGCTTCACAATTTTAAAGTTCTTTTGTAATAACTGTAAATTATAAAGAACAGTTACAAAACTCACAGTGTGTCTTTAAAGGAAATCAATTATATTTTCAGTTCCAGGGGTCAGTTTCAGTTGAAATCTGCTTGGCGGCAGAAACTTAAAGCCAAAGTATCAACTTGGTATCAGAGTACAGTTACTCTCCTGAATTAAAGGGAATACATGGCTGTACTTCATCCTGCAATTTGGGGTTAACACAGTATTACTGTAATGTGAAAGACAAAAAAACACAGCTCTGACAGTTTGTGTGCACGTGTGAGTTTTGTCTATAATTAGAACAAACAGTTCAACACATTTTAAGGCTAAATGTCATGTTTTTTTGTCCACTATAATATAATGTAATTTGATGTAAAAGAATCCTAGTCAGCAGTGTTGGGGAGTAACAGATTACATGTACCGGCATTATGTAATCAGAGTACAAATTATGAGTAACTGTATTCTGTTTCCATGAGTGGTAATTGGATTACAGTTACTTTGTTGAAATGATTACATGGCGATATTTTCTTGTTTTCCTTCACATTTTGGGCTAAACCAGAACTAAAACCAAGACTAAAACTAGGACTAAACCAGGTCTAAACCAAGACTAAACCAGGACTAAACCAGGTCTAAACCAAGACTAAACCAGGACTAAACCAAGACTAAACCAGGACTAAACCAGGACTAAACCAGGACTAAACCAAGACTAAACCAAGACTAAACCAGGACTAAACCAGGTCTAAACCAAGACTAAACCAGGACTAAACCAGGACTAAACCAGGACTAAACCAAGACTAAACCAAGACTAAACCAGGACTAAACCAGGACTAAACCAGGACTAAACCAGGACTAAAACCAGGACTAAAACCAGGACTAAAACCAGGACTAAAACTAGGACTAAGCCAGGACTAAACCGGGTCTAAACAATATAACACTTAATAGCAGGTGGACATTATTGAAGGCAGCAGTGATCTCATATAGAGAGCATTTCTCTATCAATAATATTTTTAATCTGGTTAAGGAAAGTCTGGCCTTTTTATTTTCTTTAATCAGACAAAACTTCTTATGTTCAAATTTCCTAGTCTTTGCTTTTCTACAGCAAACAAAAGTCTGTTCATGGAGACTTTGGCTCAACAGACAATTTGAAGAAAACAAACAAGAATTTTCAGGATTTCAGGATTTTGGGATATGTAATCTGTAATCTGTAGTGGAATACATTTTAAAAGTAACCTTCCCAACACTGCTAGTCCGAGTATTCAGAGTACACAGTGCCTGAAAATGATCATAATACGGTACAAAAATACTGAAGAATACTGAATTAATTCTTGTATTCAGTATTCTGTTAAGCTCCTGAAATAAATTTTTTTAAAGTATTGTTCCCCTCACGTGCACATCCTCCGCGTAAAGACACTGTTGTGGTGTGGATGTCTCGTGGTTACCTGCTCCCGGTGCTCCGTGTCCCCGCTGGCCGCCCTCTCGCTCTCCGCCGCCGGGCTCACGCTCTCTGACACGCCGCTGTCCTCGCTCTCGTTCTCGGAGTCGGAGCCCCAGGTCGAGTCGCACTCCTCCACGGTGCTGGGCTCCTTTAGCCGCCATCCTCCCACCAGATTCCCCATCGACACTGACCGCGCCGCCGCTTACCCCCGTGACCGCCTTCGGAGCTCTCTTTGTCCGCCTGGATCCCTCGCTCTCGCCGCTCTCCTGCACCGCGCCACGCTACATGCCCAGCCGGGACCGAGCGAGCGCACCACCGCGGGCTCTCGGCTTTAAAGGGGAAGGAAGCGGGGGTTTCCACATTAGCAGAGCGGCACAGGAGCGGCGGAGGAACGGCAGGAGGAGCGGCAGAGGAGCGGCGGAGGAGCGGCAGGATGCGGTGACGCGCGGAGGAGGATGGTCTTAAAGAGACAAGACATGTTAAGTGCACAGTGAAGTCAGACTTTGGCAGGATCTTTCAACATTTTTCAGGCTTTGAAACATTTTTGAACACCATTCGTAAACTATTTAAAGTTGCACTACGTCACTTGTCTCCTCAGGGGTCCGCCACCTGCTCGTCTTTCTAAACTTATTTTGTAATTCTTCCATAAACGTCTTATTATTAAACTTAAGACTGTGAGACTGAGTGAGCATCACCTTTCCACAGATCTGACCTGTGACATGGCCTGGTGGTGTCACCTGCTTGTGTCCATGGAAACAGATGAAGTAGAAGTTTAATGCCTGAAGGTGGAACATTCAAGGCAAGACGATGGCATCTCCATGGAGACGAGAAGGTGGCGGACTCTCAGTAATGCACCTATGTGAAAATGAGGGTATCATTCAGAAGTTCATCAGCCAATACGATTAGAGGTTTGCAAAAATATTGAAATATCGATATATCGTATCGTTTCATTTGATGATACAGTATCGATATCGTGGGCTGCTGTATCAATATATATTGCCAAGAATATTTTTTGGTGTATTTTACTAAATTATTTTGTTACAGCTACAGTTTTTTTTTTTACTTGTTGAGAGGAAGGAAACTCGTTTATGCGACACATTTGACATTTTCACTGTTTTGAGGATTAAAATGTTTTTGTTTCATATGAACTTTCAACAAGAAGACATTTAGTATCACAGCCATCATTTAGACTTTATATTTTATTGAACTATATCAAATCAATTTGAAATATATCGTATCGAATAAAAAATGCACTGTATTGAGACATGTATCGTATTGTGGCCTATGTATTGAGGTATGTATCGTATCGGCAACTTCTTAATGATACCCAGTCTTAGATACAATACATATATTGTAGGGGCAGTGTGGCCCTATGCCACACAAGCCACTAGGATGCAAAATTTAAAAGGTAGTTCTGACGCGTGTTTCCATATAAATTAGCCCAAAAGTCCAGTAAAAGCTCAAATATTCCTTTATTTTAGCAAGAGCCATGAACACGGTCAAAAGACTGTTCCTCATCAATTTGCAACACCTGGCATTGCTAATTAATGGTCTTAAATAGGTCGCAAACCACAAAAACAAAGACATAGTGCCACACAGTGGCCGGAGGTGCATTTTGGCCGCTACACACCGGCCCCTTAATTGTTTTCTGCCGGGATCAAAACAATTACAAAATGAATACAACAAAAGGCCACAATGCAACACAAGAAAATAATTCTGACTTCTCAAATTCATTGTACAATCCAGATAACATGATTTACTGTCCACAAATAGCATTTAGCATTTTAGGAATCATTTAAGCAATGACACAAACTCCATATTTTATCTTGGCAAACTGAATCATTAATCATTATTCAAAACAGAGAACTCATTAGTCCTATGATTTCCATCGTTTTCTCTTGAAAGCTCTTGGGCGTTTCAGGTGGAAGAGAGCTCCTGCTTTATCCAAGCCCTTTGGAGGCCATGAGAGGGACAAACTGCAGTCACCTCTTGAGTCCATGTGTGGAAGTGAAAATAGTCCGACAGTTGTCTCCAATTTGTTCTTCCCTCTGTCAACGAAAACTACATCCAAATCATCAGGGAGGCCAGTCCTGCCCTGTCCTTTCCTCAGAGGGCCTCCTGTACCCTTTACCAATAGGGTTACAACAGTGTCCGGCCCTATGCCTTGGCTGTTGGCCACATCTGAGGAATCAAAGATTTCAGAGGGTTGGGTTTCACCTTTGGAGATTGAAGTGTCAGTTTGTTTCTCTTCACATGGAGATGATTCATCAGAGAAGTGATCAGCAATGGGTGGAATAAAGTCCATTACAGGAGAGGGCTCACCTGTCCCGGCCCCTGTGTGTTTGCCAGACACAGGAGAAGTGACCAGAGGAGTTGGTGCAGTTACTTTGTGTGGCAGTGGTTTCTCTGAATGTGGGCCTTTTAATTTATGGGACTCCAATCTAGGCTTAGACCTTTTAGACTTTAACAAAGCAATTTCAGCCTTCATTTCTAAAATTTCCATTTCCATATCCAGTTGTTCCTTTTTCCTTCTGATTATTGCCATTTGCTCTTCTATGGCATGTTTCTCCTTCAATAAAGACAGTCTGACCAGAAGCACTGCCTTTTCAGCCTCAAGTTGTAAATGAGCAGCAGCAATAGAAGAATTTAAACCTTTCATGATTAAATAACTGCTTTTTACAAAGTGAAATAAGTTTAATGAAAGTTCAATAAAGCTGAACAAGTATTTTGTAAGCAAATTTTACTGTACACTGATTGAAGACAATTGTCCTCCTTTGCTTGATTCCCTTACGTTAGTGTCCAGTTCAATCAGCTGAAGTCCATTGCATAGATCCGTGTCCAAACTTTCTACACGGTCAGTCTGTGCAGTGTCCTTCACCACAGTCACCTCTGCACAAACTCCCATCTCTGTCCTCGTCCAAACCAATGCCGCTTCGCTGCCTTTCCTGTAGCAACCAAACGCCTCTCAGAGCCAGACTGCAGGTGTGGTGAGTGGTGCCAATCAATCCACTTCAGCTTGTTGTCTTCTGAGGAGTCTTTTGACAAATGTAGGGGCAGTGTGGCCCTATGCCACACAAGCCACTAGGATGCAAAATTTAAAAGGTAGTTCTGACGCGTGTTTCCATATAAATTAGCCCAAAAGTCCAGTAAAAGCTCAAATATTCCTTTATTTTAGCAAGAGCCATGAACACGGTCAAAAGACTGTTCCTCATCAATTTGCAACACCTGGCATTGCTAATTAATGGTCTTAAATAGGTCGCAAACCACAAAAACAAAGACATAGTGCCACACAGTGGCCGGAGGTGCATTTTGGCCGCTACATATATCAATACGTAGGCCACGATACAATACATACCTCGATATAGTGAGCTTATGATTTGATACAATTCAATGCGATATATATTTCAAATCTATTCGATACGGTTCAATAAAAAAATATTGTCTAAATCATGTCTGTGATACTAAAAGTGTTTGTTAAACCACTTCTTGTGCAAAGTGAATATAAAACACAAACATTTTAATCGTCAAAACAGTGAAAATATCAAATGTGTCACATAAACGAGTTTCCGTCCATTAAACAAGCAACAAAACTGTAGCTGTAACAAAATAATTTAGTAAAATATACCAAAAAATACTCTTGGTGATATATCGAAACATCAGCCCACAATATCAATCCTGTATCATCAAATTAAATGATACGATATAACAGTATTTCAATATTTTTGCATACCCTTAATGAAAATAATATTGTTTTCTTGATTTCATCAGAGCACACAGGCCTACAAGCTGCACTGACAAATGAAGCTTGTTAAATTTGGTTAACAACAATAGCTGCTTTAACTTCTGCTTTAACTAACTTTAAAGGGCCTATATTATTTTTTGATCTGCTGTATGTTCTAATGTTTCCTCATCATAAACAGAGCTGGACTTATGTTTTGTTTCATTCATGTTTAACACACAAACGTGCACATTTAAGCTGAGTTCTTCTCTCAAATAGAAAACACTGTTCCAGGTAAAAGGAGCTGTTAATTACAACTACATGACATCACAAGGTGGAACAGAGCATTTTTAGTTGTGGAGCTGTATAATAAAGGGTTTGTGAAACGTGTGAATAAAACAAAACACAAGTCCAGGTGTGTTTTTGAGGAGGAACAACATTAGAACATGATTAAAAGCTCACAGAGTCTGAGGAGCTTTAAATAAGACGACAGCAGCGGCTCTAGTTGAGACACATCGTAGTAGTGACATGAACAGCTGAGAAATAAATAAATAATTAAAGGAATCATATGTGGAGCATGCACAAGGTTTGAGATGTTCTGAGGACGTCTCTAATCTCTGACCTTGTGGTGATCCTAGAGTGAGAGAGGAACTGATGTAATCGAGACTCGTCCAGTATCGGTCTGTGTGCACTTTTACACACACACACACACACCCATCCACACACACGCGCACACACACACACACACACAAACATACACATTACCGGGTCATATGAGGAAACATGAAGATCCAGTGTTTCCCAATAAAACAGGAGCCTGTGGAGGCCTGATCTGAATCATCCCTCATAGACTAAACCAGTGTCACACTCAAATTCACAGAGGCCGAAATTAAAAACTGCGAATAAGTTGTGTGCCAAACTAAATATTTACTGAAACATTTCAACATTTGCATGTTTTCTCTTCTTTTGAGATATGTAATGTTCAACCTTTTCTTATTAATATAAATGTTTAACAATCGTTTTGTTTAAACATTGAATCCTAGCAGCTCTAATACAGATTTGACATGATCTTGTGGGCCAGATATAATTATCCAAATTTGGCCCCTGGGCCTGCGTTTGACATGTCTGCTCTAAATGCTTAAACAGACACTGCAATAACAAACTGTACTATTCACTTATTGTATTTGATTATTATTGCTAATGCTTCAACATTAATAATTAAGTTTTGAGCTTTTAAAGTGCCCCTTCTGCAAAATGTATTTTTCAGATCTTTTTACTATGATACCGGCACACACTGCTCTGACCAGTGGTGGAACATAACGAAGTAAACTGAATTTAAGTAAAAAAAAAAAAAAAAAAAAAAAAAGTATGTATCTGTACTTTACTTAATTAATTCATTAATTTTTAAGTGGATACCTATTACTTTTACTTCACTACATTTCAGAGCTGCTGTATCTGTGCTTTTCTACTCCACTACATTTTTGAACAGGACTGAAAAGTAAAAGTATTTTTTTATTATTATGTGAGACCTGCTGAAAAGGCTGAGGGTTTATTTTTAAACCAAGTTCATAATTTTGAGCAAACAAAAATATAATAACCAACAAACTAATAAACACAGATAGAATAAAAAATAAAAATGTAGTTTCTGTTGAACAAATTTCAGCACAAATCTGCATCAAAATCACTACATTTAAAGCTTTATCAGATTTCAAAATCGGCGAGATATACTTTTACTTTTTACTCTTAAACAGTTTTACTTAAGCAGACTTTTTCATGTGATACTTTTACTTTTATGTATGTTTTCCTCTGGTATCTGTACTTATCTTCTCTGTGTAAGTAACAAAATGGAGTACTTCTTCCACCACTAGTACTGACTTCGTTCTCTAATAATATTTTCTAAATTGGTGATACATGTTGGTGTCAGCAGTGTTGTGGAGTCATTTTGGAACAAATACATTTAAAAAACAATTAAAATCTGTTGCTCTAGTGTGATGTGCAACTATCCACAGGACGTGTTAACTCTTTGTTGTGATGACGTTTATAGTTATGTCAGCTCCCACTGGGCATCACAGTTTTTCTAACACAGAATTCAGCTCACTTGTTTCTTTTATTAAGTTAATTTAGATGAATATTGTGATTAAAAATGTCCAAATTATAGCAATGATGCACTGGTGTCCTAGCACAATAGCTCTTCTTCATACATAGTTATAACAAATTATAGTATTTAATTCTTGTATTGTTAATCACTCTTTAAACATTAACAATAAGGTAGAGCTTCGTGATTAATCACAATCAAACTGAAATCACAGTTTGAGTGGATGCAATGAACACATTTCTTTCAAAACTGTGAATCTCCCAGAGTTAAATAGCCCTTGACCTACATCTGAAATTATGACCTCCACAAATTCTAGAACATGAACACAACCTATTCCATTAACGAATACAACTATGAGAAAAAAGAAAGAATACAAAGAAAAGTGCTCAAAACGAGAACATTTCTTGTAACAAACTGGCTTGCTTTGTCTAGTGTTGAAATGCTGCCCTCTTCTGGTGAAAAATACAAACTACACATTCAAATTCACGATTAAAAATGCTGTTTTTTAGCGATGCAGCTTTAAATGTTTACTTCTTTACAAACAAAACACGCCTAGAATACTAATGACATCTTATACAATCATTTTAAATATATATCCTAGTTAATATATACTGTATGTGAGTACTAACTATATGTTTAACGTTCCCGTGCCAATAATGTAATGATTATTAATAAATTGTAAAGATGATGAATAAATCGTCTTGGGTCTTGTTTGGGTTGACTGGTGATAATAAAATCGTGAAATGAGTGCGTAATTAAAGAAAACTTACGCGCTTGGCACTAACGCGAGTCGGTATAGTCACATTTTCTTTGTGTTTTTGTGATTTTTAAGCAGCTTTTTTGTATTTTAGCCCCAAAATTGACTATGTATGCCTCTCTTTATTATTGGCGGGGATGTGATTGGTCAAAAATAGGGACAACTGAGACATTTCTTGTAAAAAACGGACAAATCATTGGTTTTGAATAAATCTGCCGGGACAGGGGAGACGAGGCTCAAAACGTCTGGTCACACTATGTTCGACTGCTTTCATGTTCAGATTTGATGGTAAAAAAGGGACATCGGTGTTTTGTTCCGGAGCATTATCAAAAGACTGCTCCAGGTGAGGCTCGAACTCACAACCTCGGCATTGCTCTGCTTTGTACTGACATATAAGTACCGCGCGCTAACCGATTGCGCCACTGGAGCTCACTGTTTCTCGGCCGCAGAAGGGTTTAAGAGCGGTAACCTCCGTGTGCGCAGCTGGAACACCAGTTTGGACATTTTACACACACATTTACGGATTAAAACTACTAAATAATACGAATTTAATTTTACTAAACATCAAATAAAGCGGAAACAGTGGGATGTTTCGGTTGTCTAGTCTAATTCGTTTTATGAGAAGAAATAAATAATCTCTCTATAGTTAGTTATATTACATAGCATAATAACAGTATAAATATTTACGCGAATTATGAGCAAAAAACAAGATCCATGGCATGAAATATATGAATTTACACTTTTTTTTCACTTGCTAACTCGGCTAGCTTTCTCTTCTTTTCCGACATTCTTTCGATTTTTTGAGGGGATTGCAATTTGATTCATAGTCGTCTGTAATAAATAATAACCATCAAAACAATCATATCTGACAACACTTACTAATTTAGAATTTTAAAAAGTAAATTGCGTCAAATCTTGGAACATTTTTGTGACAAGCAGAACCTCAGGCGGGGTTGTGTTTCCGCCCGAGCCCAGAAAAGAAGAGCACTTTAAACGTGTGCTGCCGATCTGTTTCTTCTGTCTCCACCGCCGGTCCAACAAATCTGAGCAAATTGGATAAAATACGGAATAACAGCGGATTATTTAAATGGAGAACGATATAATTGTTTCTCTAGAAGACCTGGGGTGAGTTTGCAAGCTTTAAAATGTTGAATTCGGTTGGAAATAGCGATAGATTTCTGGCTAAAGTCCAAATCTGGAGCAGCTATCTGGCCATGCTAAAGCGCTACGTAACCAGTCTCATCTGCTCAGCATTTCTGTGCCGAAGCAGCGATTTATTTTAAGAAGAGTGAGGCTAATAAAACAGTATTCATGATAGGCATTTCTGCGTTATTTAACCAAACATCAGATGCATTTATTTAGACAAATGACTATTACAAAACCCGAGTGGATTTTCTGTGCAAACCAAAGAAAACAATTATTTATCACAGGGACTCTTCAATCCAGTTATTGATGGTTAATGTGTGATTTGCTTTTGTACTACAACGTCCAACAACTTCAAACTACTAAGGAGCGTTTATTTGGTAGTTAATTATGTATTTGATTAGTAAAATTTAGAGAATAACATTAAGTCGATATTACACTAGTTTTTATGGTCTGATGTTGTTTCTTCATCACAAACGCACCTGGAGTTATGTTTTGTTTTTTTTTCACAAATGTTTAACACACAAACCCTGTATTTTAAGGCTGAGTTCTTCTCTTAAACAGAAAACATTCTGGTCCACCTTGTGATGTCATGTGGTAACAAAGGAAGGCTCCTCAGGGGTCCTCCACCTGCTTGTATCTCTAAACTTATTTTGTAACTTTGGTAAATGTGCATTCTTACTGTGAGACTGTGCGAGCATCACCTTTCCACAGATCTAACCTGTAACTTGGCTTGCTGGCAGAAGAAAATAGATGGTGATAGATACTGACGGTGGATATAGATTAAACAGAAGTTTAATGCCTGAAGGTGGAACATTCAAGGAATACAGGACGTCTCCCCTGTGTTTTAAACTCCATACACTTTCTCTAGAATCTTTTGGATGATCTCAGACCTGGAATTGCCAATCTCTACTGAACTAAAGGTGAAAGGAGCTGTTCACTTGAAAACTACCACTACATGACATCACAGTGTGGAACCATAGACTAGATAAATGCGTTCCAAATAGGAAATGGGCATGGTCATGATTCAGCTCAATCGACTCCGGCTCAAACTCAACCTTTGGACTGGCTTTTTTGTTGTTAGGATACTTGCAGTCGGAATCCCAAATAGGGAACTCTGATCCAAACTGCTCACATCATTGAATGCCTTAGCTGATTGGTATGGATGACGTCACACTCCCTTAGTCCACTTCTTTTTACAGACTATGGGTGGAACAAAGCCAGACTAATGATGCAGGATTACTGAAACGTGTGAAGGAAACAAAACACAACCCCAGGTGTGTTTTTGAGGAGCTAACAGTATTAGAGCATTAGAGGCTTAAAGCTCAAAAGAGTCCATTTTGTTTAATATAGGACCTTTAAGATAAAATGTCATTCTTTGTTAAATGTTTTTAAGGCATTATGTGTTATGATAATTAGACATATTTACTTTTCTTGTGTTCATTGACTTAATCATAAATGAATTAATTAATGAAATGGACAAAAAAGAAATCTGAATAGGGCTTAAATTTTAAAACACATTTGTACCTAAAGGAATTAAAGCCCGGTTTAGTCCCTCATTTAGGGCTTATGTAGTGCAGTTTTTTGATGGCAACCAAAATCACAATTTCAATGAATGGACACAAACAGGAAATCACAAAGACTGCAGTTTTTAAGCGGGGTTATTTGCTCCACAAACAACAAACTCTCCTGTCTTATTGTCTTATAAAAACTGCCAACCCTGTAGTTTAGATGTTCTGAAATGTAATTCCTGTATTAAACTAATAGTTCAAATTTCTGAACTTTTGTCTTTTTGTTTTTTGTCAATTTTTCTTGATGAACAAAAGGGGGCTTGGCAAAAGCTCTCAAAACTATTCCCTATCTCCGTGTATCTGACCCAAACTGCACTCAAAAGACTACACCTGCAGGGGGAGTTCATGTAAAAACTACTATTTATTCAGGAAAAAAGTTCTAGGAAATGATAAACACAGATTCAACTTGTGAATCTGACTCCTAAAAAAATATCAAATCTTCAGCTCACTCTCTGCTCCTTTCTGCTGTTGTCCCATGGAAATCCTGATCATCTTAAGAAAATTAATAGTTGACTAATAGACATTTGGTCGACTAAGACTACAAGGACTAAAGGACTTCAGCCCTAGAAAAGAGTTCATTTACATTGTATGAAACTCTTATCAGACTGTCTGGAGGAGCTGTGGTCTTTTATGGCGTGTGTGTTGATATGCTTCATGATCCTGTGCTGTGTTGTACATACAGATACCAGGGCCCGCTCCTGGATGATGGCTCCCTGGACTCGGCCTCTTCGGGTGGAGCCACTTCTCCTGAATTCACTAAACTGTGTGCGTGGCTCGTGTCAGAGCTGCGGCTCTACTGCAGACTGGAGGAGAATGTCCACGCCACCAACTGTAAGACTTTGCACTAAACTGACGTCAGTTGGACAAAACAGTCAGTGCAGATTATGCCTGGATATTTGACTCGTTAATGCATGTTTCCTTTGTTTACATTTGTTTACATTAACAACTAGAACCAGTATGGCAGCAGGTGGCAAAACTGAATGACCTCTAAGTTAACACTGGCTGCAAAAGATTGCCATCCTTAGAATGTCTGATTCCTGACTCAGAAACTTTATTGGTCACCCTAAGTATCAGATCCCCTCACCTGTCACCCTATTTGTGGTTAAACCTCTTTGTCAAAGCCTGATCTCGTCAGATCTCTTTTGCTAAACAGTGCTGGGCCTGGTTAGTGTTTGGATGAGAGACCTCTAGGAAAATCAGGTGCCATGTGGGTGAAGTGTCTTAGGCAAGACACTTCACCCACATTGCCTAGTATGAAAGTGGTGTGAGCATAAATGTTTTGTAGTGGTTAGAGGGACCAGTGGGGCAGATTGGCAGGTCTGTTTCATCTGGGCAGCTGAGGCTACAATAGTGTCTTAGCTCGACTGAGTGTGAAGTGAATGAATAATGCACCAAACCATAAAGCGACTTTGAGCATCTGGAAAATTTTACCTGTATATCCCCCTGATCCCTCCTGTCTCAACTATAAACAGAAGCTTAAGGACATGAATGACTGTTGGAATGAGCAGTAATATATTTATTATTGGTTTTAAGCATATATAAAATATGAAATTGGTGTAAATAAAAATACATAAATAAATACTGCTCACACAGACATGATTATTAAACTGTATGTTTGTCATCCTGCAGGTCCCAGTGAAGCAGAGGGCTTCCAGCTGGAGATGAATGGACTTCTGTCTGAACTGAACTGTCCTTATCCAGTCCTCACCACAGGAGACCTCAGCCAGAGATTCCTCCAGAAGAACCACTGTCTGCTACTTCTCTCTGGGCCGGGCTCTGGGCCGGGCTCTGGGCCGGGCTCTGGGCCGGGGATTAATTACAAATGTCTTAATTGTTCAAAAATACCTTGGAAAAAGATACATTCAGTTCTTACTGTGAGTGGGGTCGCTTCTCCACACATTTAACCTGTTAACCTGGCCTGGTCAGGCATGGCACCATGAAGAAGTTTAATTCCATACTGTTTAACATTCTTATTTAACATTCACTCACTCGACATACCCACCTCCTGAAAAGTGACACAGTGTTTCTTTAATGTTATGTGTGTATCAGTTTATTAGCCTTATATCCCTGAGTCATGTGTGTCTGCTTCAGTGCACCTCCTGACTCAGCTCTGCGTAATAACCGGCCTCCTCCTGTACTCTACGACCAAGAGAATGTGTTCAGTGGAGCTGGAGTTTTGTTTTCTCACAAAGTGTTGACTCATCTTCAGTTTGAGAAACAAGAGGCCGAAGTAAAACTGTTGTGTTTCAAGATGACATCACAACATTCTGTAGTCCAATAGGCTCGATTCAGGCTTATGTCACAAACCAGGAAAACGTATGGAAACATTTAAGAACAACTTCTGCACCGACCGACTGTGATCAAATCCACTGAAGTAAATGTGATCAGTGGTAAAATGAAGACTGCAGACGTCTGTGCTGTTTGGAATCATCTGGAATGTGACGCTTCATCTCTTCTAATCACATGTACCAGTGCACTCAGAGTTGTGTGTCAGTGGGGAAATGATGAAGACTGAGGTGTGGTTGGAATTGTTGATGAGCCGAACATAATAGAACACTACAATGACATGGAGAAGAAAACTAGAAAATTAGACATTTTCTAATTTTTCCTAGTTTTTGTCAGACTTACTACTGCGAACAGAACCCACTGGAAGTTCTAATCACATCTTTCCAACGGTCAGATTGGACCCTGACCAAATGAAGCTTGTTAAATGCAGATTTTTGTTGTAATACAGTACATTTCTGGGTCTAGTCACAACATTTGTTCGTTTAGCTTTTGGATATTTCAATAAAAGTTATTAGGTTATCAGTCTGGTTCTTGCCCTCCACCTGGGAGTATGTCATCATCACATTCTAGCTCTAGATCTTGCTCTTTGTAGGCCTGTTAGCTCTCAACATTGAGCTTGGGAATGCAACACTTATTTTAAATGTCTTGTTGAGAACATCAAAAATCATTTCTTTAATTGGTAACTTTTTCTACTGGTTTAGCCTGGCCTGCCATAATTGTGGCCTGAAAATATGAACTGGTAAACTAATACAAGAATCACATTTCAGAACATGTTTGTGTAGATCTAAAGTACAGGGTTGGCAGTTTTTACACAGAACAAGGCAGGAGAGTTTGTTGTTTGTGGAAGAAATGGCACATTTGTGTAAGTGTAAATTGTGATTTCATTTCTAGATTGTGATTAATCCTGAACACACACACACATACACAGGGACATGCCACTATACCAACAGTGTAATTACACCTTCTCTCTCCTTTAGCGTTCCTGATCTCGGAGCTGGAGGCCTCCCGGATGTCCCTGGTGAACTGCCCCGAGAGTCGAGCTCCGGACGGGGGCAAAGCTCACGACGGCAGCCCCGTGTTCCAGGAGCTGAAGGGGATCTGTGTGGCTCTGGGCATGTCCAAACCTCCATCCAATATCACCATGTTCCAGTTCTTCACTGGCATCGAGAAGAAGGTACAGCTCTGCACCGTTCTCTTTGAGCACTCAAAAATGCTGCATTGCTGGATTTGCCATCAGATAAAAATCCTGACTTCTGCTGCACAATTTTTAAGCCCATAAACCATCTCCAAACTCGCTGTGCGATCAAAGTGTGTTCACAATGAATGCATGGCTCTGTTAGCATAGCATTCATGGCTTAATCTTTTTTCGTCTTTAATCTTTATCAAGGACACAGCGAGCACATGTGGTCTATAGATAAGAAATACACAATATAAATATGTATATACTATTAAAAGGAAACAGTATTACATATAAGAGATGCAGCGTGTCATATCATGGCAAAAGAAAAACTCAATTCTGTCAACTGGACAAAGGTTTTAGACGTTTCACTGCTCATGTGGCTTTTTAAGTCCTGGTCAGGTTTTACGTAGGACACGGTCTTATATTTGTCTAAAGGGAGGAGCTCACTACTCTGTGACTAATGCTGTGTTCCCACCGCAGCGTAAAAAATGCAAAACACGCTTCTAGTTGATGGCGTTGTCTGAACGCAGTATTTGTTTGTTTGTACACATGTGTTTGTTTAGAGTTTGTTAACTACGTCTATTGAACTACAAATGTGAACTGTGCCTGAGTGTGCGCCCCAGTCTGCAACCATCAAACTGCCACTACTGTGTGTGTTTACTTTTCTATCGCCTATAAAAATTGCCATCAGACTGTGCACACACTAGATAAATTACCTTGTTTCTCCATAAATTATGAAATGCGTCAAATGTTTGTATAATCTATGTCATCCAGGATCCGTAGCAAAAGAGAAACTTTTGTATAGCTGACAAAATTTTATTTCTCCTTTGCAATAGATATAATATAAAAATATTAAATATAGTAAATCCTATATAGTCAAATTGTACTGTAGTGCACATTTGATTTATTATAACCTCGTCATGTCTCATGGACCCAATCTCATCTTGTGGAAATTGTCTCGTCCTCCTACTATTTCCTGCTGTTGACAGCTGAGGGAGCTTTAATGTCTAAATGGCTCATTAGAAACTGAGGTTCTGAGGGGAACAAAAGTATGTTTAAAAGTAAAGATAAACCAGGGCGATACTTTTTTTTAGTGTATCAGCGCCTGGCCTTAAATGTCCAGCACAGACCTAAAAGCCTAAAAATAAACAAGAGCTTTATTTGAACACTCCAGTGTGAAGAGAAAACTGCACAAAATGTGTCTACACAGCTCTCTTAAAGGTTTGAGGTTAAAAAAAAAAAGGCTGTAATGAGTTTGTTGAAACATTTAGATTATAGAATTTGGGAAAAAAAAAATAAATAAATATATATATATATATATATATATATATATATATATATATATATTTATCAATCAGTAGAGCTTTTCAGCCATCGGTTTCTCTGGATTCTATCAACAATCAGTGTCAGCCAGGAAAACAAAACACACCAGTCAGTCTCTATTTATTTTTCATGTGTCTTCTGTAAAGTAACTTTAGAACGTGTGTGTGTGTTAGCTGAAGGAAGCCTTAAGTCGAGTCCCTCCAAACCACGTGGGAGAACCTCTCCTGAAGAAGCCTCTGGGCCCAGTGCATTTAGTGAGTACAACACAACAACACAACACCACAACAGTGTGTTCATGTAAAGTAACCACACGTCTCATGTGTGCTTCTTTAAACCGCACCATGAGTCTGATCCAAAACCATAAGAACAGGCTTCAGTCACTCACCTCGTGTGTGTGTTCCTCCAGGAGAAGATCGAGGCCATAAACCAGGCCCTGGTGAACGAGTACGAGGTCCGGAGGAAAATGTTACTCAAGAGGCTGGACGTTACAGTGCAGTCGTTTGGATGGTCAGACAGAGCCAAGGTACAGAATAACCAGACATGTGACGTACGGGCGTGTGACGTACGGGCGTGTGACGTACGGGCGTGTGTCTTTACATGTCTTTAAAACAGAACATATTCCTACTATTATTTTTTAAAGTGGATCTAAACACTAAATTAACTCTTTTCACTACAAAACTGGATATGGTGTTTTTATTAGCATTGTCTACTGTTCCTAGTCTATGTGCAGCTTTGTGCTAAAAAAAGTCACAACCTCAGTGCGTGTACTTGGTGACATCACACAGCACTGCCCTGATTACAGCCAGGTTTTTCTGATGACACACGGCTGTTTGAAGTGTCGACACCTGTTTGACCAATCACACACTGTTCCTTATACCTCCAGACCCCGGCGCCTCCTCCCCCTCACTCTCCCCTTTAGTCCTCTAGACCCGGCGCCTCCTCCCCCCTCACTCTCCCTCACACTCCCCTTTAATCCTCCAGACCCGTCCCTCAGTTCATAGTCTAACATGTTCATGCATTTAAAGATTTTAATTTTTTTCCCTCTAGACTCACTCGGAGAAGCTAGGCAGAGTGTACCAGCCCCTGCGCTCCGTCCTCGTGGCTAAAAGCAGGATTTCTGTGGCTCACCTTTTGGCCGCTAGACAAGACTTCTCCAAAATCCTCCGAACGAGCAGCGGCAGAATCAGGGAGAAGACGGCCTGTGCCATCAACAAGGTACAAGACTGTTTATAGCTCAAGATGTGGAGATGGGTCCTGAGCGCTCTCCTGACATGTTTAACCCAGTGGCACTGACTGAAAGACGGGTCAAATGCAGAGAGTGATGGAAGTCAGCTTGTGTATTCTTAAGTTCATAAAAAGAGAGTGACTTTAAGGCAGCTTTATCAGACTGTCCCAATATGACCACCCTAACACCACATCACCTGCTGCAGTGTCCACTTTAGTGCTCTATTCTGCCTTTCCTGCTAAAACCTTCACTCTATCACATTTCTGTTCCAGGTTCTGATGGGCAGAGTCCCGGACAGAGGAGGACGGCCATGTGAAATCGAACCCCCACCTCCAGAGATGCCCTCGTGGCAAAAGAGACAAGATGCCCCGCAGGGAGGGCAATACGGAGGGGGCAGAGGCGGGTACCAGGGGGGAGGAGGAGGAGGGTACCAGGGGGGAGGGGGGTACCAGGGGGAGGAGGATACCAGGGGAGGAGGGAGGGTACCAGGGAGGGGGCAGGGTGGAGGTTATGGGGGAGACAGAGGACATTATGGGGGAGGGGGAGACAGAGACAGAGGAGGTCGGGGTGAGCACCATGGAGGAAGAGGAGGAGGAGGAAGAGGAAGCCGAGGCAGAGGAGGCTACAACCAGGTAAGACTTGAACTAGAAACGTATCGATTGGTGGTTTTTACATTCTAGAATGTGATGATGTCATCCTCCTAGATCAGGGCCAAGAGACACTTTTCTCTGTTGATCACACTGATGAAATGTCCAAAAGGTCAATTCACAAATGTTGAACCTGTTCGTTTCTATGATTTGTTTAGATAAGGTTAGACTTAGGCTGCGTTCACACTGCAGCCTGAAGTGACCCAAATCCAATTTTTTGGCCTCTATGTGACCTGTATCTGATCATTTAATGACAGTCTGAACGACACAGATCCGATTTTTTTCCAAATATGACCCAGGACACTTGGATATGTGCTCCTGAAACTGATACATATCTGATCTTTTGACATGCGACTTCAGTGTTAACGGCCAAAGTGCATTCATCCACCTACACATTATCAACAAGCCACAAACGTCACTATTCTGCACTGAAGTAGGTGAAAATTGTTAATGAACTCCGTGTCACTGAAGTGAAGCACATCACCACTCACCACTCTTGGCTCCGTCTCCACATCCACACGTTCCTTTCAACGGCCGTTGCTGCCACTGCCCCACAAAACACCACGACCAAAAACCTCGTCCTTCTCCTTCTCAGTCTCCTCCTTAAAACAAGTAAGTTGTTCATGTTCTGGCTCCGGTACGAGAGGAACTTTAAAATCTCCAGGTGCTCAATGCTGCGTCCATGTTTGGACAACTTCTGTAAACACAGAGACGCTCGCTGTGGTTGACGTCGTCGTGTCTCCAGTGCACATGTGGGACACTTTCGGGCCGTTTACTGTTCACACTGGAGTCACATACAAGTCACATTTAATTGGAAATGTGAACGACCTCGCAAAAACATCGGATTTCACAAAAAAAATCTGAATTGAGCGTTAAGCCCTGCAGTCTGAATGTAGTCTTAGAAGAAATCAGTGTATTACAGCAGACACAAATGTTTATTTTAGCTGCGCCCACCTCTATTAAATATTCCTGGCCTACAGAAAGTGATGATCTTCTGGAACCAACAACTTAACAACTTAAAGTTGCACTAAATAACCTGTTGGTACTTGATGTTATTGCTTTACCTGGAAAAGCATGAAACATGTTTAGTTTGCATTTATTTAAGTACAGATGTTTTTATTTAAAAAATAAAGAAATACTTTTACATAGTGCACCTTTAATCACCACAAAGCACAAGTGTTAAATATTAGCTTTTATAACGTCACTGCAAAGGATTCTTCTCATCTGGAGCTCAACAGTCCAGTCCCGGAAGTCAAATTTTAACTCATTTTTCCACAGACATTTGTAAACATTTTAATAAGAGTTTAAAGACATTACAAAGGCTAAGCAGCTACGAGCAAATTCATGTCCATAATACGGTTCAAAAAGCACATTTTAAATGCAACATTCTATGAAAGTTTTAATAACTTAGCAGAATTTTATTTATTTATTTATTTATTTTTGGAAAGTCTGTGAGAAAAATGAATGGGAAATTTACTTGTGGAAGTTTGGGTTTGGGCCATCACTGTTGAGCTCCAGGGGCCACAGGGATGGATGTGAGCCACGACCTCACACTGACCCTCCACTGGGCTCTTTTCATTCCCCGGTCACAACCTTTTGCCCAGTTTGTGTCAATCATGCTAGTTGTATATTTCATTATTTTACTCACCAGAAATGGTTAAAATGTTATCTGTCAGCTGAAGCCTTAGTTGGCCAGTCATTTAAATTTAGAGAAAAGCTGGTGTTTAGTTTGTTTGATTGGTTCACACCTTGTTAATGGACAAACATGATACAACATGAATGGAAACACTCTGGGACAGTGACTGGAAATGAGCCTTTGGCAATAATCCAGAGGGCTGAGCTCACACAGGCCGCACACAAAATCTTGCACACTTCACTCACTGCACAGTTCTATTGATCTCAGTCCAACACTACAAGAGGATGGGAGGGCATCTGACACACAGGAATAGTTTTTAATAGATGCGTTTTTTGTGTGTTTAATTTTCCAGCAGCAGCAGTACAGCCAGTCCAACTACCAGGACACAGGAGGCAGAGGAGGCTACAGCGCCCCCCAGCCGCAGTACCCCGACCAGGGCTTCAACAACAGCGGATACCAGGGCGACCGGTCCGGAGGTCACCAGAGCGAGAGGGGAGGAGGAGGGGGAGGAGGGGGGAGAGGCAGAGGTGGGAGGGGGAGGGGGTCTAGGGGAGGAGGAGGAGGAGGGGGGGGCTGGGGAGGGAGAGGGGGAGGGCATCAGGGAGGAGGACAGTTTGAGCAGTTCTTCCAACACGGAGGACAACAGTACAACCAAGCGGGGTTCAGCCAGGGCCGCCAGTACACAAGCTGAGGAACGGCTCCCAGTACTACTAACTACAACGGTTACCATGGGAACGGGGCGGTGCTGGAGTGGATTAAGATGAACTCAACTGTGATTGGTTGGTTCTGCTGTCATCAACCTTCAGTTATTTATAGTTTATCATTAGTGTTAAAAGTGCATCTTTCTGGTGAAGGGTCTTCCATTTGCTCGTCTCCAGAGATGAAACATGATGTTGCTTTGCCTGGAATGTTCTGCAGTATGGCATTCAACTTGCATCCTGTAACATTTTATTCCAAAATAATAATAAAATAACTCGGCATGGGAGCATAATCTGTTTGTCACCATGAAGATGACTTTAATGCCATACTGTGAAACATTCCAGGCAAGACTATGAAATCTCTATAGAGACAGGCAGACGGCAGACCCCAATCTGTTGGATCAGTTCTGTTCGATTTTAGTTTAAAGGAAATAAATGCTGTTTTCAGACTGGTATGGGCAGATACATAAAGCTCTAGTATTTCTACAGTTTACTATCAAATCAGTATCAGAAGTAAAGAAGCTGGATTGGTGCATCTGTAACAATGATTTATGGATTTACAATAAGTATTACAGCATTAGTTAGTAGATCTGCACAAACTACCATATTTTTCAGACTATATATTGCTCTGGAGTATAAGTCACACCAGCCAAAAAATGTGTAATGAATAAGAAAAAAACATAAGTCACATTTTTGGGGGAAATTCATTTTTTAAAATCAGAGACCAGGAACTGACATTTCATGTTGAAAGTCAAGTTCTAATAATAACACAAGAGAGAACAACAGACTGTTAACGTCACATATGAACAGTTCTTCAAATAACTATAGCATAAACAACAGAACAGGTTTACTAAACTCTCCATCTCACTCCAAATCACTAAATCCATTCAATTCTTCATCCTCGGTGTCACTTCTGAGCAACTTGGCCTCGACCTCCGGAGGTAAACAGAGCATCGCTTCTGTGTTGCTGTCATCAGACTCAGCATCAGTTCCAATTCCCAACAGGATGGTTTCGGTTGTATTAGTTTGTTTAAATTTAAAAATGTTCAGAGGTACAGAAGTGAAGGTGCGATTGACTGACATGACACATGCACGACAGAGGCTCTTTCTGCAGGAGACATGTGCAGTAGAGTGAAGAGACAGTGGTACAGGAGTAATAGTAGTACTGATACTGACACACAAGACTAGAGTGGCCTTTAGCAATGGTCAGCGTGAACACTTTAATATATAAGTCACAGTACCACCCAAACCATGAAAAAAGTGCGACTTATAGTCCGAAAAATATGGTAATTGAAAATAATTATTGATATATGCAATAACTCCAGATTTTTGCCATAATTTACGTGTTATTAATACCTAAACAAAATTTGAACAAAAAATACAGCAGAAATGAGCCTTTTATGACATTACACATTTTAAGAATGTGTAAATGAGCAGAGAGGAGTGTGATTCAGTGAGGTTGGATAGATGTTAAAGTATTTGGACTGTTGGCCGCTCTTCTTCAGTGCCACATAAATGATGAGTGTGTGCTCTTTGGAGTTTCATTGAAAAGGTCACATTTGAGCTTCCATTATTTCATGACATATTGTGCAGCCTTATGACTTGTTTGCTCATCCACAAAGTTTATTAATCACAAATGCCCCGGGGCAGACTAACTCAAGTGTGGCTGCTTGTTCAGTACCGGCAGTGCATTCGTAGATGAGGTCGATGAGATGTCTTGCCAAAGGACACAATGAAATAATACGACAAACATCAGAAATAAATGATCTACCTGGACTAAGCCTTCATCCACTTTGTCAGTAATTAGACAGTAAGAAAATGAACCATTAACTACAAATGCAAAACCGAGTTCTTCAGTCCACTCTAGCACCAACAAACCGTCAAACTGTAACTCTCCCTTTGCTCAGCCCTGACCCTCTTTCTGTTAAGATCTGTGTTATAATGTAGTTTCCGCATCACAAACTCACCTGGAGTTGTTTTGTTTCATTCCCACATGTTTAACACAAACTCTGCATTTTGCTTATATGTCATGAGGTAATACAGGAACTTCTCTGCTGTGTTTTTAATTTCCAGACACCTTCACCGGAATATTTCGATAATTTCAATCAATTTCGACTAAACAAAAGGTCAATGATAGCTGTTAACTTGAAAACTACCACCTTATGACATCACAAGGTAGACTGGAGCATTTAGAACTTTGGAGATGTAGACACTCAAACGTGTGAATGAAATAAAAGACAACTCCAGGTCTGTTTTTGAGGAGGGAACAACATTATAACATGGTATATTAAGGTCAAAAGAGTCCATTTTGTGTAATTTAGGACCATTAAGGATGTTAAAATGGTCCAAATACTTGGTTTCCACAAGTGATGCTCTAATTAAATTGCACAGAAAAGATTCACTGTCCTGCGGTTTCAAATGGTTGAGTTCTCTTTTACTTCTTAGTGCAATAATGATTTGGTTTGGGTTTGGAGCTAAAGAAGCTGGTAGCATGGTCAATATCTGTTCAAATGTGGTAAGAAGGAGTGAAGAGTGAGCTGTAGGATAATGGGGTCAATATACGGACATTTCAGAGGAGCAGACAGGAGCGGGACTCGGCTGACTTGTGCTTGTCCAATGTCTAAACCAAACTAAAGATAAGAGGAAATGCACACTGTTACAGGACTCAAAATGTGGACTAAATCAGGACTAAGTGAAAGTGCATCATGAAAAACTCTAGTTTAGTCCTGATTTATGTCTCTTTTTTGTACTGGTTTAGACTTAAACTAGATCTAAACCATAATGAAGCCAGGACCTAATCCGGACTACTATAATCTAACTGAGCCATTTTATACTGTCATGAAAACTTGGTTTGGACGAGCAGTCTGCACATTTCAGGCAAAATCTCCACGGAAACAAGTTACATAGTGCATCTTTAACCAAAATTCAGTCCATACCAAATATGGAACTAGAAATAAACCAGCTCCTATCTGCTCTGATTTCTGAGCTTTTGTCATTAGAGCAGTTTTTTTTTATCTCCAACACGATCTCTTCTTACAATACCCTTCTCCACTTTGTCACTGTAAAACAGGTTCAGGGCTGCTCACAACAAAGAACTGTTTGCCAAATATCCTTTTTTCATGTTAAAGTGCATATGACAAGTCGGACTATTCATTTCTCTAGAACAGACCTAACATCATTTGATTTAAGATTTTACAAATACTAACTGCCTCATCCTTTCTAGTCTGGTAATTTAGGTGAAGGTTATAATTTTACTGTTTTACATTTTAGAGCCACTTACTGTATTTTACAACTTTTAGTTATTTTTTTTTAACTTTTCCTCACAAACTGCCACTCATCAAAAATGATGATGAGCATTGAGCACAGATATTATCCCATCAAACAAGTCAGAATTAGAGAAATGTGTGAATAGGTCAAATGCACTTTAAATGAGACTGTTTTTCACACCTCAGAATGAGCCTTAACGTGAGATTTAGTTTGCTAAAATTCAGTGTCGTATTTTGGATGTTGGACGCACTTCTCCAGAGGCAGATCTGTGACAACTGAGTGTCTGTTGTTTGGGAGTTTACTTGAAATGGTCCCAGTCTCATCTGAGTTCCTAGTATTGGACAGACTGGATGATTCTTTTGTTTTATTTAAAGATGTTTGTTGTGAAGCTCTTGAAGAGCTGAGTGCTCAGTTTTGGATGGAGATGCATGGACTGTGTGAATGGACAATAAGAATAATAAAGTCTCCACTGACTTAAACACTGTGCTTTGTCAGTCCATCATTATTGTGTCAAGCTAAAGTAGATTTGGTCTGTTATGAAAGCCCTGAGGAACATCTCAAATGTGTCGCTGTCCCTCTGTGTAATAACGTCTTTACGTCTGAGTCACTGTCACTCAGCCTCGATTTTCACCTTTATAAAGGCAACTTTTAAATGAATTAATCATCAGGTTTATATAGCATCTTTATTGGTTTGAGCTGCAAATGAAGTTTTATATTTGATCATTTTGTTTTATCCCCCCAAGAAGAGGGAGGGAGAAGAAAAATGGAAGCAGGGGGAAGGACAGAGCAAGGAATATGAGAGGCAAAATCCAACTTGTGGGACAAAGGATTTGTTGGGATGTTGAGGAAAACAACCTTTTCCTTTTGTGTTCGTTAGTTTCTGCTTGGATAAAAATTACACTTTAAACAGAAATAAAGTCCAGATAATTTACTTATTCCAATATTAGAAAGTCATACTTGTACAAGGAGTCTGTGCTGACATTCCCATGCAGAGACTTTTGTACAATGCCTATACAATGACTTTTATGCAAACCATAGTGGGAGGATACCGTGATTTAGACTCAGCTCCTCTTCGTTGGTGCAGCCAGGCCTCTTGGCACGTTGCACAGTCCAGTCAGACTCCATCCTGGTGTTGTCTGGCTAACAAGTCATGACATCATCCCTATCAGTAGTTCTTGTTAGTTTAGTTAGTTTGCTATTAGATACGTTGAAATATCCTGCATTTGTCTTGACATATATCTGAGTGTCACAGCTGTGATCAGAGCACTTATCTTCAAATAATTTCTAGGCACTAATGAACTATAGAAGTGATTTTACAAAATAGCTAAGCCTAGTTATTGATCCTAACAGAGAACCTGTCTCCAGACGCTCCTGTCTCTGAACAGTCGGAGGGTCTCACCACACTCCAGTCGTCTATGATGGAAGAGAGACAGCAGAGTGTGGAACAGGCGGTCATCACGGAGGCTGGATTTGTCAGGTAAATGTTTTTTGCTGGGTAGGTTTTTAAACATGTACTTTTAATTTAGTATAACTCAGTCAACTATCAGAAACTCCACATGTGACTGTATGTCCCTGTGATACACTTTACTCCTGATGCCCTGTCTGCTAATGCTCAGACTGTTACTTTAGATAGACAGACAGACAGATAGATAGACGGACAGATAGACAGATGGATGGATGGATGGATAGATAGACAGACAACAGACATATGGATAGACAGACAGACAGTTAGATGGATGGACACACAGATAAACGGATGGGTGGATGGATAGAGAGACAGACTGACGGACGGACAGACAGATAGACGGATGGATAGACTGATAGATGGATGGATGGATAGATAGACAGACAGACAGACAGATAGATAGATAGATAGATAGATAGATAGATAGATAGATAGATAGATAGATAGATAGATAGATAGATAGATAGATAGATAGATAGATAGATAGATAGATAGATAGATAGATAGATAGATAGATAGATAGATAGATAGTATATTCAGTATGACTCCACAGCTGTGAATATGATCCTCTGCACTTACAGATGCAGACCAGTAGAGGTCAGTGTCTGCCAACAGTCCAACATACAGAGCTGCTCCTTTGGTACAAGCCCATTCTTTGTTTGACTGTGTGCCACTGAGCAAGGTAATGTAAACCTGCTGCACACACATTTGAAGAGGGTGTATTTTACTCCTGAGGCACACATCAGAGCACTATTACAACACAATCAGCCTGCATCTTCAGAATCAAACTCCTGTACATCACATCAGGTTTCTCCAGTCGCTGTGTACAGTTTTGTATCATGTTTTTGTGTATTTATGGAGAATAGTCGTGTGGAGCATGGGGGATGTAGGCTTGTGGGTGGAGCCTTGAACAGAATCTTACAGCTAATCATAAGGAGGGTTCAAATAGGGCCAGGTGTTCTGTGGAAATGGGCCCCGTCGGAATCCCTCAAGTGACAGAGACGTTTATCGATTGACACTGCCCAGTCAAAATAAATGACCTCATATTTTTCCATTTACAGTTGTATAGATCCAGTAAAGCCTAACCCTGACCTCTGACCCCTGACCTCTCCAGTTTGACAACTTATCTCTCTGATTAGAGACGAGGGTTTGCCGCAGTTTGCACGCTGATCACACTTTATATTTTATTTATGTCAAATTTCAACTCATTTATATAAATCTGAGTAGTTCATTTAGACAGTTGTATTCTGATCTAATAGGCTCTGACTAAAGGGAGCACATTTCCACAGGACAATTTATCCATCAAATAATGTCCCACTGTACAATCAGCATTATTCACTCATTTAGATGAATCTGGGCAGAGCAAATCTTGACTGTATCTTCTCCCAAACTGAAGATGGATCCTGCAATTCAGTTTTATTTATACATCGCCAATAACAGTGGACTGAGTCATGATGGACGAGGACAGAAAAGGGACAAAAGAAGAAACATTAGAACGAACATTTAACAAAAATATATACACAAGATCCAGGGAGGGACCTTTATCCCATCTGTGTGGCAGGAGCTCAAATTGATGGCATTCAAACTGTACCAGCGCTTAAGGGCTGTGCGCAGTAGCTCTATAGGGAGCTCAAATCGACAGGACAGGTCAAACATGCACGGATGACATCTCAAACCTCTTCAGGCATGTTTCTGATGAGGCAGCAAAGTTATAACATGGTAAAAAAATAAAAACATATCAATTTAGTGTAACACCCCGATTTTAAGCATGTTCAGACTGACTTAAGCAGTCTGAAAGAAACCAAGACCAAACAACAATGGAACTGTTCTGTTTATAAACCTCTGAAATAGAAAGAGATGGACAAAGCACAGATTTTAGTGTCTTTATTGAACATGATGCATTTCAGAAGCACATATATCAGTGCACTGACTCACCACTAATCACCTCTGTGCCGTATTTTTACTGAACATAAAACAGGTCCTGTTACATGTGCACTAATGTATAACACATGTGGTCTACATCACTGATGTCCTGCAGTGTGGAGGAACACTGTGCAGCTAGAAGCAGGTGTGTCTTGGGGAGATCTCAGTTCAGTTTAAGTGCACTTGGCAAATTCATTTATTTTTCTAATTGTGACTGCAATGGGAAAGTACCAGTGCTAAATATTTCATACATCAGTTTTACATCAGTGACGTGACAGTTTGTCAAGAGAAGAAAAACTAAAATTTTTCATTCTCATTACTGTTTATTTTGTACGATCATAAACGATAAACTTTGTGCCTACGATAACATTATTATTAGTTTGTACGACTATAAACAAAAATATGTTTCTGCATGTGTGTATATGTGTGTAGTGGACCAAACAGAAAGGCAAAGACAAGATATAAAAATAAGTTTAAATTTAATAAAGCCAAAAAAATATCTAATTTAACAAAGGCTCAAATTAGGCAAATTATTCACAAAAAGCTGGGCCCAACTGGGGAAACTCAAAATCAAACTGAACAAAACAAAACTAACCCAACCAGACAAAGGAACAGCGGTGTTTAAATACCTAAGGACCAACTAAAGCTGAACACAAGAGGGAGGAATTACACTAAATTAACTAACTAAACCAATAACTTAATCAAAGTAACAAAAAGGCAAAAAATTAAAAACACAGAAAATAATAAGTGATAATAAAGTGACCTTAAAGCAAACTAAACAAACTAACTTAGTAAAACAAACTAAATAGTGCTCCCCCCCTTTGCTGAGTCCTGGTGGTCTCTCCCAGGGTCCTCTGTCCGGTGCTCAAAAAACAAAAAAGGACAAGTGCAAGTAAATTAGACTAAATTAGACTAAAATGTGTGCACTCAACTTAGAACATAAGTCTAAATAAAGGAATTAAAGTATGTAATGTGATTAACTTAATGTAAATAATAATGAAAATTAAATAATACTGACACTATGGAGAAGTGGCAGAAGGATCCACCACAATGTGTTTATACACATATGAGAGTATATGTACCCGATATCTATGATGTGCATATGTATGTATGTATGTATGTATGTATGTATGTATGTATGTATGTATGTATGTATGTATGTATGTATGTATGTATGTATGTATGTATGTATGTATGTATGTATGTATGTATGTATGTATGTATGTATGTGTATGTGTATGTATGTATGTATGTATGTATGTATGTATGTATGTATGTATGTATGTATGTATGTATGTTATGTATGTATTTATGTATGTAGGGTAAAATTTTAGTTGGTTAAAATTTACCAAATGTTTTAAAGTTTTATTTTAACTATTTGAAAGTTAAATGGGGGTTTGAGTTGGGGTTATTTGCCAGAGTTGATGTGATTAAGGTTAATTCAACTTCCTCTAGTGTTAATTCAACTTCCTCTAGTGTTAATTCAACTTCTCTTAGTGTTAATTTGGCTCCTCCCATTCACCACTTCAAACTCTTGTGAGAGAAGACCAGTTTGAACCAGTTTTGTACAGAATTTCATCTTAAATGAACTAAAATAAAGTAAACATAAAATAAAACACCTTTGTGTGTTGTTTAGCTAAATCAGGATAACTCTACAAAGTGTTATCTGTTTACTCTCAAAACGTGAATATAACTCTGGTTATAACCCCTGTTTTCGGGGTTAAACAGGAACTTTAGTTCAGTGTTATTTAATTAACATTTCCAAAAATGTTAAATTAACTCTAGAAGAGGTTGGACTCATATAAACTCTGAGAAAATGTTAAAATTGATTCTGTGAGAGTCAATTTTAACACTCCACTTTTTGCTGTATGTGTGTGTGTATGAGTGGATATGTTTTTGTATATATGTGTGTATATTTGTGCATAATGACAGGTAACCACTCCAAACAGTTGGGGCAGGACGTTTTTTAATCTTCATCCTCCTCCTTTTGAGCACCAGGTCCCAAATATGTTCATGTACATATCACTATTTTTGTTATTGTTTTGAATTTTGTTGTACCTGATTCAAACAAATAAATGAATGAATGAAAGTAAAAAACAAAAAGTTGGAAAATACAGGAAGTAACAGTGAGTTCTAAAACAGAAACCTCTACCTACTGTACAGTATGTCATCAAGTCTCATCAAGTCCATCTGAAACAGAGACAATTTTTTTACCGTTTAAACACAGATTTAATAAAAATAGAGGTGTTGTCATTTATTTATTGTCAAAAAGTAAATATAGAGTGAAAACAACTAGGTCTATGTGGTTAAAAAATGTAAAAAGTTAAATGTTTGCTGAAGTGTGTCATGGCTCAAAAAAGGTTCAAACACTTGTCTAATTGTTTATATCAGTACACTTAATAAACCAGGACTCACTCAGGTACATGACTCAATTCCAAAAATGTATCTCCTTATTCTTGGCCGCATCTCATTTGTCTTTCCTGAGGGAGTCTTCAGGAGCAGACACCAGAGAAAAGAATCAAACTTTATTGGTCTCAGTGAGGAGTTCAGATCTTCTCTCCTCCCTGTGTCTCCTCTGTGGGACTTCCTCACTCATTTCCTGCAGAATCGAGGAGAAGGAGACGAGGAAAAAGAAATGGAACGTGGCTCTTTTCACACTGACCTGACCTGACCTCTGCCCCCTCCGTGACCTCCTCCTGTCCCTCTCCTCTCTCCATCCGGATTACAGCGCCCTCTCTCCCGCTCACAGCCGCACTGCACTGCCCCTTTAAGCGCTCCTCCATCCTCTCATCCCCCATCCTCTCATCCTCTCATCCTCCCTGCACACAGCTCTGTCTCTCCCCCGTCACTCAGCAGCTGTGGCCGGTGCCAGAAGCGATCCAGTCCGGCGGAGGAGCAGCGGACACCGGGAGAGGCAGGAGGAGGAGCGTCCCATCAAATTACGCGTCTTGGAATCTACTTTATTTTCCTTATTTCGGATTATTGCGTCTGGATGTGCACGGATACGAGCTGGAAGTTTAGGAGAGTCTTGGGATATGTTTTATTCGTCACTACTGGAAACAACCCACGCTATTTTATTTTATTTTTATTTTATTTTATTTTTTTCAATTTACGTTCAAATTAATTGTGTAATTTTGCACATTTACGAATCAGTTGCAATGTTTGATTAGTCTGAACTGGCTACAGTCACGTGTCTTTGCCAATTTCACATTTAAGCCTTCAATTGTTTAAATTACGCACCGTAAATTTCGCAAAAAAGTTTAATTTACACAAAAAATATGGATCTTTTCTTTAAATAAGATAAAATTCATAACGTTTTGTATCCAAATTTGTTTGGTTTAGAGTTTTTGGCATCTTTATCTATGGAAATCTCAGCAAAGGCGAGTTCAAAAATGTGGGTTTGGGCGATTAAATAAAATTGGCACTATTAAACCTAAAATATTAGAAAACCTGTTTAAAGTTTCAATTTCTCAAACCACTTCTTCCAGTCCTTAGTCCTTCTAGTCCTCCTACAACTTTTACACTTGTACTACTGTTGGAGACGAATCCTAATCTGGATACAATACGCGCACTTTTTACGCACGATTGGAAATAATTTGGAGTTGTTTCTAAGTGGAATCCTACAGTTCACGAGGCGGTGTGTGTGCGTCATGGAGGGCATCCGGAGCAGTTGTTTCAGTTGTTGGAGGAGGAGGTACCCGGGGATGGTGCTGGCGGTGGCTGTGGCTCTGGCCGTGGTACCCAGAGCGCAGGGCTCCGCCGCGGCTCCTCTGACCTGCGAGAGGAGCTGTTACTCCGGCACCTGCGTGAACGGGAGCTGCGTGTGTGACCACGGCTGGGTGGGGGACCGGTGCCAACACTGCCAGGGTCGGTTCAGGTAAGTGCCATCCTCCCACACCTCTGAGACTGGTGATGTTTGCTTTGTAGATAGACAAGAGGAGCGCTACTTCCGAATATTATTACTTATATAGAAGTACAAAGTAGTGGTCCAAGTCAAAGTTATTGTGATACTACTACTCAAGAGCATCTTACAGAACGCATCATCATTTGTAATTTGAAGGACTAAGCATTACAGGACACATATGACACTATTGTCTGATCTCTTTTCTAATATTTCCTCATCACACACAGACCTGGACTTGTCTTTTGTTTCATTTATACATTTTTAACACACAAACCTGCACATTTACACTGAGTTCTTCTCTCAAACAGCAAACACTTCCACCTTCATGTGCTCCACAGTGTTTTTAAACTCCATACACCTTCACTAGAATCACTTGAATATCTTCAGCTCTGAAATTGCTCATCTCTGCTGAACGAGGAGCTGTTCACTTTAATACCACATCACAACATGACATCACAAGATGGAACAGAACATTTTGAGCCTTGTAGATGTAAACAGACTGATAATAAAGAGTTACTCAAACATGTATGAATGAAACAAAACACAACTGCAGATCTGTTTTTGAGGAGGGAACAATATTATAACATGACTAGACAGGACCTTTAATTCAGGTGTTCAGGGTGAGCACTTTTTTATTTATTTATTTATTATTCATTCATTTATTTTGCACATATATAACATATAACAACAAAAAAGCACACTAGATAAAAACGTAGGTGCCAGAAGAGGCAAAAACCTAAAAGATTAAAGCCTCCAGTTTATGAATACATAAAAAAAACTGAACATTATCTCTGTGCATTAATAATAATAAAAAATAAATAATAAAAAATAAATACATATATTCACTTTAGATTAAAAGCATTTGATTCAAACATGGATTAAAATACAATGAATCCACAATTGAATGATCAAACATTATCATGAAATATCAAACATTTCCTCAAACTCTTTTTAAACGACGTTTCTGATGCCTCACTAAACAGACGTGAAAACTGCTCCACAATTTCCCGCCTCTGGATAAAACAAAACTGAGCTCTGCCTGTGACACATTTTGGAACATGAAAAATACAATTTTGACCACTATTGTATCTATGAATCTCTACATTGGTTTGAAAGTAAAATGTGAAATGTTTGGGGATCATAGTTGAATTTTTGTACATAGAAATACAAATTTGATAAATATTAAAACCACTTCTGATCAGGGTTGTCAAAAATACAGAAACTAGTACAGATACTAATCAACACTAAAACTATTATCAAAACTAGATACTTATTTGAACAGGTGTTGTTACTAAAAAAGTCACATTGACAGCACAGAAATGAACCTTTCCTTAATGTGTGTAGAATGATGTTGATCTGTATGAGAACAAGTACCAGAGCACATAGACCAGTACACACACATGGACCAACATGAACCTACTGCACCACTGACCATCACACACATATAACACACATTTAATGCTGAAAATCACATCATATTGTGTTTCTTTTTTTATTTATTTATTTCATTCATGAAAGATGAAAACAAAATAATTCTGTTTCATGCATCAATGTGAATGAAAAGGAGCAGACACATGTTTAGACCTGTAATATCTGCTCCTTTTCACACAAAGTCAAACATTTCTAACACAACTACATTTATAAGCAACTTATTTATGTGACACACACAATATTAAATACTTACTAATTAACACAAAAAGACACTTCTTTCATCATAGTTTTTAGCACATCATGTTTGACATTTCTTTAAAACACTTGAATAGATTTTGAAGCTTTGAGTTTTTCATTCATAAGTTCCATATTTGACTCAAACACATGTTTTTTCATTGTTGTTGTTTTTCTGAACCTGGGTTTTTTAAAGATTTCAATTCCTTTCAAATTATTATGTCTCTCTTTCTTTGTAAATGTTTTTGGGGGTTGGAGGGCAAGATCTGCTGATTTGTTTTATACCTCATGTTAAAAATATGAAGTTTTACCAGTTCATTGAGTTTCAGGATCTTTAATTGTATAAATATTAGTTTTGTTGAGTCTCTGTATCCACTTCTGCTGATGACTTTAACAGTTCTTTTCTATAAAAGGAAAATTGGATGAACATAAGTTTTACAAGCTCTTCCCCAAACTTTAATACAACACATCAAATATCAATGAATTATACAACAAATACAATTCACTCCTATTTGTGCTCTTGAGCATCGAGTTTATTCCTTAGTACAGAAATAGAGTTTAGTATCATGTGAACAGGCCTACTACTTGTGATTCTATATATGATTCTATATATGGACAAGTGCAAGTTACTTCAAGTTACTCTCTTCCAGTTTTCCTCACAAGTCCCTTTTGTCCACACTCACAATAGGAGCCGTCTCTCATTATGACACTGTAAGTCTGCTGCTGCTCCACTCAACAAAACACAAGTGAGTTAGACCCAGCCTACTCTCTCTGTGTGTGTGTGTGTGTGTGTGTGTGTGTGTGTGTGTGTGTGTGTGTGTGTGTGTGTGTGTGTGTGTGTGTGTGTGTGTGTGTGTGTGTGTGTGTGTGTGTGTGTGTGTGTGTGTGTGTGTGTGTGTGTGTGTGTGTGTGTGTGTGTGTGTGTGTGTGTGTGTGTGTGTGTGTGTGTGTGTGTGTGTGTGTGTGTGTGTGTGTGTGTGTGTGGGTGTGTGTGGGTGTGTGTGTGTGTGTGTGTGATGAGCAAAAGAACAAGAAGTAGCTGGTGTCTATTTTTTTGACATTTTCTGTTTAAAGGTGCAATTCAACACATCCTGCATTTTTTGTAGGTGGGATAAAAACATGTTGCTGCTCTACAAAACAACAGCTTTGTGCGGTGATCTTTATGAACAAACTGGCACATCTGATCCAAACCAGCGCAGCGGCCAATCTCACTACAAACTGAGCTCTTTTCTTTGTCCTTTTTTGCTTCTTCACCCTCTAATCTAACCCCGGATGATACCACCTAGTGCCTCCACTCAATTTCATTTCTCAATTTTCATTTCAGGAATCAGAATACAATAGATGGTTTACAAAAACCCCAGAAGTGCCAGCCAATCAGTGAAGAGCCATATATTCTGTGTGAGATCGAGGATTTAAAATCAGAACAAAGAGAATGTCTGATGAATTTTATCAAGGGGAAAGACATTATTGTCCTTCTTCCTAAGGGATTTGGGAAAAGCTTAATATACCAGTTATGCCCGTTAGTGGTGCATTACATACATCACAACCAAATAACAGTGATTGATCGCCTACCGTCGAGCGAACGAATTCTAACACTTGCGAGGTCAGACATTTTTTATGAAGTGAAACCGGCTGATGAATCAGGCTACTCTCATCTAACACTGACAAAGAACAAGCAGCTCTTTTAGAATAGAAAAAAAAACACCCCCAGATTGTTTAATGTTATTTAAAATGACGCAGAGTGGAATACATATCTCTGTTTGATTGACAGCCTCATGAGTGGTGCTCTGAGGAGTCAAAGAAGGTTCAGAAATCTCCTCTGATGTTACAGACTTGGTAGGACTGGTGATAGCCTCCTCATTATCCTCAACCACTTGAAACAGCTCTCAAAAACATCTTGAGGAACAGACAGGTGTTCGGACCTCTGTTATATTCTCCTCTAGTTCGACCACCTCTAGTTTGATTTCCTCAAACTGAATCTGGTCCATTTGGATCTCCTGTAGTTTGATCTCCTCCAGTTGGACTTCCTCTGGTACAACAGAATATTCTGTTTGTTTGACAGCCTCATGAGTGATGCTCTGAGGAGGTAAAGAAGGTTCTGTGATTTCCTCTGATGTAGGTCTTGTGATGTCCTCTCATTATCCTCAACTACTTGAAAGCAGCTCTCAAAAACATCTTGAGGCTCCTCAGGTGTTGCAACGTCTGTATTATTCTCCTCTGGCGGTATAGAGTCCACTGTTGAACATACGGTTTCAGACTTCTGGCCTTGTCTGAAAATTCTGTGGGAACTGGTCCAGCCTGGGTCTCTCTTGGAAGTGACCTGGTCTGAGATTGTGGTGGAACTGGTTTAGCCTGGGTCTTTCTGGGAACTGACCTTGCCTGGAGTTCTCCTGGATCTGGACTAGCCTGTGATTTTGTGGGAACTGGCCTTGTCTGGGATTTTGAGGGTTATTGATCAGTCTGGGTTCCTGGGCTGGCATAGGTTAAATATGGACTGGTGTGGGTTCCTGGACTGGTCTGGGTTCCTGGTTTGGTCCTGGTTCCTGGACTGGTAATCTAAGTGCTCTGTGTCTGAAGCTCGTGAACGTAATGCTGGAACTTCTGTTCCTCGTGTGGCTGCACTGGTGGGTTATGACTTTTCATCAGCTCTTCAAAGCCCATCATCTTCAGCATTCTCTCTGCTACCAGGACCTTAGCCTTTTGTTTGCTGGGGCCCTGAGCCTGACAGGGCATTTGGCCATCTCTTACCTCCATAGTGAACCGTACCTTGTTACCAGTGCGGTGCAAGATGCGAACATCGACGGCCTGATACTCAGCCGCCTTTTGCTTTCTCACCATCAGGATTTCTGCCAGTGCACTAACAGGGTTTTTCTTGTAAAAGAAATATGGACACTCCAGTGGGTCCACCAGGTCAAGTTGCAGTTTGCACCAATACAGAGTAGTGTCCTCTGGCACAGAGAGCTTCTTCAAATCCCATAGAACTTTTGAGGCAGCGTGTAATTTGCTTTGTTTTTTTTTTGAGGGACCTGAGCCATGGGCAACAAAGTCCCCCACTTTCACTTCGATGTGGAAGTTGGACGTATGGTTTGCCCCTTTTGGACCCATTTAAAAAAACTGCACCTTTAGTTTGTGCAGCGAAGCCAGTTCATGCGACAGATCCGAGTCTGTTTTGTACACTTCCTCTGGCTCTAGCTCTCAGTAAGCGGCTGATCTTTTCAGAAGCTCCTATGCAAACAGTTTGCATAGGAACCACAGGAATGTGATTTTTTGTTTTGTGTTTTGTTTTTTAAACCTGTATGCATCTGTAA